AAATTATTTTAGGAATGCTAATTTTAGTGTGTAAAATTAGCATTATTTTTTAAATTTCCAAAAATCGAAAAGGGATTGGACGTAGAATCCCCACCCCAATCAGTCATCGACTAACATTAGTTGCATTCAGAGAGGTCCAATGCTTAAAAGAAAAGTAAAAAATCAACCTTTGGTAATAAAACAGGAATTGCAATAGCATCAAGTCCATACAATGTATATTCAACAGAATATTTCTCTCTCAACGTAATAAACAATTCCCTGCATTCCTCCAATGTAGAATTTTCAAGTGAAGATTCTTGATAAAATTGTTTGACAATACTGTAAACTTCTTCAAGTCTGACAATTTCTGCTTTACTTTCAGCCAATTCGTCCTCTATTCGACTTTGCTCATTCAATAAAACCTCGTTTTGATCCTTTTTAAAATAAAAATTATTATAAAAAATGATAAAGGCAAGGCCCCCTTCCCTTCATTGGGAAGGGGCCCCTCAATTCATATAGTCCAGAATTTCAATTTATACCTTTAAATAACGAACTTGTCTATCAGTTTTACAAATTTCCTCTTCAGTAACATCTAACAATGTATTTAAATTGTGTGTTAATTCGGGAACGTTGAAGTTTGTTCTTTCCACATCCGCTATTATTGGCATTCTAAATAAATAATAAAAATGATAAAATTAATGAATAAAACCTGGCTCTTCTGGAAAAGGAATTAAAATCCTCGTAAATTCGCTGTTCAGGACCTGTCATGTCAATAATCTATAAAAAAATTGAATTTTATTTTTTTTTGAATTTTTGATACTTAAAAGACAGATAAGAGAAAATTTTCTTTAAATTTCAACCTTTCCAACAGCATTAACTGCCCCAAATCCATTATCACCAAACCTTTGACTTTCTCCTTCACTTATCACGTCATTTATTGTTTTGTATTGAATTCGAACTTTTCCTGCATTGCTTTTGCGCCATGTTCCTCTCGCAGGAAATTGTGCTGTCTCTGCTTCAGAAAGATTATTTAAACTTCCACTTTGGTTAATCCGACTCTGGGCCTCTGCCGCTGATTCTAAAAAATTTTGGGATTATTAAATGTCACTGTAATCAAATTTCAATATCAAAAACGAACATTGGGGAAGAAAAGTGGTCAGGCTAACAAATGACCGGCTTTTCAAAAATATATTTAACACGGCTTGAGATAACAAACGTTGAAAGGAATTAGAGATCGGCCTGGTCCTGGACCAAAACCTGGGTTTTTCCTGTACACAGAATCCAGGTCCTGGCATTTTTAAACCTTCCTGGGGTTTTCTTGGGTCTGGGGGGTTTTCCTGGACTTCAGGTTCAGGATCCAGTCCAGGTCAATAAATCAACCCCAAAGTCCAGGAACAGGTCCATGTTTTTCAAAATTTCCGATCTCTAAAAGGAATACTCGCAGATATTTATGAATAAAAAACTATTATGTAATTAAATACCTCCAAATCTAGGCCCTTTAGCTTCACTTCCATAAGCACCAACTGCTCCACGGCCAGGCCTTTGAACAGCCTGGACTGGTTCAACAATTCCTTGCTTGCTCTTTCCAAGGCCCTTTCCTTGTTCATAACCCATTTTCTTAAAAAAGAAAAAGTATAAAAATACAACCGTAAAAGAAACCTGCATCATTTGCATAACAACATTTCCTTTTCCAGACTTTAACCATCCAGCATCTGCTCCGGATGCACTAGCAAATTGAAAAGCAGCATTTCTAAAACCAGCAAAAACTTCACTTCCAACGGAACTAGTTGCTCTTTGATCAAAAGGCGAAGGTTTTGAACGTTTTTCTGGACGTGCTTCTATTGTTATTTCACCAGCTTCGGTTGATGTAGACTCCTAAATCGAGAAATTGTGTAATAAAATATTAAAAATGAAAATTGTCCAAAAGATTGCTGAAGATAATTAAAAATATTTCGAAATGATAACTAAAAAAATAAACTCGTAAATAAAGAACAGTCAGAAAAATCAAAACCGTCAAGGTATATAAAACTAGTGTAGGACAACCGGTTAACCGCCCGGTTAATTTTTCCCTGTGGCAGGATTTTTTCTTTTTGTCGCGTCACAGTGGGAAATTAACCGGTCGGTTTAGTTTTGTCCCACTCTATACAGAACCTCCCTGCCTCCACTATGGAACCAATAAATATCCAACCTTTGAAGTCTTCTCAACACCAACAGACACAAATTTAACAGGTCCGTCCTTCCTCTTCTTTCCCGAACTAAATGAGGGTCTAGCATCGTCGTCACTATCTTCATCTCTGGCCCAAATTCCTTAAAAAATTAAGAATAAATAAAAAAATTCATTTAAATTTAAACCATAAATTCTTTCCTCCTCTGTTTGCCTTTTAAAACGTCTTGTTCCAGTAGCAAATTCATAATCGGTTTGATCAAAATCAAATCTTTCTGAAATTTCTTCTTCATCCATATTTTGGCTTTATAAAAAATTTAAAATGTTTAAAAATTATAAAAAAAATTTCATTTATTAAAGTGAATTAAAACACAGAAAAAAGTTAAAATTATTTTTAATCATTTCAATTTTATTGACAAAAAATAAATTATAAGAATAAATTAAATGGGACATTACTCAAAGAAAACAAAACTAAATGAAAGGATTTGGCATTAAATTAGTGAATTTGTTTTTTCTTTTAAATCAAAAATAAAGCCGGACAATATTAAAAATAATGCAGGCATTGCAGCATAATCATTATATGTACAATGGAGAAAAAATGAAAGTAAAAACAAAGGGAATTTTATTAATATTGAACCAGTAAGACCTCCTTTTTTCCACCCCAATTCCCTTATAATTTTGCAAAATGGTCAGACATTTTCCTTTGTTTCATCCAAAAAGGAATTAAATAATCCTTTTTGTTTGATTGTAAGCAAAAATTAAAAAGGCAATTCGGATGGAAGGAAAAGTCTGACCATTCTGAACAAATATAGGGGAAAAATTGGGTAGGAAAAAGGGGGTCTGTCCGGTACAATATTACCGGGATTTTTAAAATTAATCACTTTTTCCCCGGCAAATTTCTTAAAAAATATAGAGTTGAACTTTCAAACAAAATTCCCCATAAAATTATAATTATGCAACCAAACCTTTATGGAGGGTACCTGATATGACAACATTTTCTGATTTTGCAATAAACAAGTCCGCAAAAATATAAAAGAAATTAAGTGAATTTATCAAAAATTTTCTGTTGCTTCAAAAGTTTCGTTTTGGCGTGTTTGAGGTCCTTTAAATAATTTTTAACCTGTGGCTCCATAATATCACGCTCAGAAATTGAAATTTCGTTATTTTCTTTCTCGTTATCTTAAATTAAATTTTAATAGAAAATTTAGAAAAAATTATTAAAAAGTGAAATGGAAAAATTGACCCAAATTAAGTAAATAAAATTGAAATTTTTGCGGACAATTTTAACTCATCATTTAAATAAAAGGCGATGTTTATAACTAGGGTTGGGGGCCCGGCTCGGTTCGAGCCCGGGCCTCAAAAAAATCGAACCGGGCCTCGAATTTTGGCCCTAAAAAGACTCGAACGGCCCGGTTCGATAAAAAATGCGGTCAGAAAAAATAACTCAAACGTCGGCCCGATTCGAAAACCCCAACCCTATTTATAACGAGATGACAACATTTTTTGTTTTTGCGATAAGAAAGTCCGTAAAGATTATCCGCAAAAAACAGTTAACAATTGAAAACTATAAAAAAGTCAAAAACTTAATTTTCATAACTTAATTCAAAAATAAGTTGAATGCCTAGACCAAGATCCGATAAATCCATTAAAAACCCCAACTTAAATAAAATCCACAACTTACCATTCAAAACCAAACCGAGAATTTCATCACGCTTCAAATTATATTCATTTAATTGTTGATCGACTTGAATTTTTAATTTAGCTAATTCATTTTCAACTGCAGCCAGAGACTCTTTCTCCAATTTAAGAACATTTTCGAGTTCTAAAAAATTTTAAAATAAATAAATTGGCAATCCAGGAGAATTGGGGTTTCTTCAAAAAAAGTTTAAAAATAAGAAAAAGGGTTTTTCTAGGGTAAAAAAATATGCTGGTTACAAATCTGAACTCGGATTTTGAAAAAGTCGAATCCCGGACCCGAACCAAATTTCGAACCCTGAACCCGGATTTCGAATAAGCAAATGATAGCTCGTTCGAAAGAGCTCGTCGAGCTGCATCGAATGACACCAAAATCAACGCGATCGGACCTGTTTCGACAAAGTTATTACATAAAGTATACCTATGGGAGTACTGTAGGAGTCGGCGACTTATGTCACAACTTTGTCAAAACTTGATGAATCACTGTAATTTTGGTGTCATTCGACTCAGCTCGACGAGCTCTTTCGAATGAGGCATCATATGTATAAACTTTTTTTTACTCCAAAAAATCACCCCTATGATTTTTTAATATTCCGGGGTCTGTATCTCGGTCCAACCACGTCGGATTTCATCGATTTTGGTGTCATTCGATGCATCTCGATGAGTTCTACCAGCATATGAAAGACTGACCATTTCGTACAATGTCCGACAATGTCCGGAGTCAAATTCCGAATTCGGGTCCGGGATTCGACTTTTTCAAAATCCGAGTTCAGATTTGTAATCAGCGTATTTTTTTACCCTAGAAAAACCCTTTTTCTTATTTTTAAACTTCTTATTCGAAGAAACCCCAATTCTCCTGGATTGCCAATAAATTAATATAAACTTGAATCTTTCCTAAATACAGGTAAACCTAAAAATTGGAAATGCAAAAAACTTGAGTGTATAAGATAAAGAACCCCAAAATAAAAATTTATTATTGTTTTGGGGTAGCAAAGATAAAGAAATTAGAGCATTTAAAAAACATTTAAACCTAGTTTTTCGAATTTATATCTGCCAACCCTACCTTATCGTCATCTTACTGCATATTCAGGCCCGTAGCCAGGGGCCTCGAAAAAAACACAGGCTACGGGCCTGTGCCTATTAAGTCTTTTAACTACTCTAATTATCTTATTTTAGATGTAATCCTATCCCTTAAACTTCTCCATAAAACATAATAAAAATAACCTTGATAAGAAGCTGATTTTTTAATTTTTTGATCCAGAACATTTTCGGATTTATAAACATTTTCCCACAAAGAAAATAAACGTGAATTAGACAACTTTAAATTAGAAAAAAATAATTAAATTAACCAAAAAAACCTCAGCTTCACGTTCATCAACAACCTTCAAAATTGAATTAAAAGTCTCAAAATATTGGACATCATTCTCAAAAACATTTGAACTGTCGTTGAAACTTGTATCCATTTTTAATAAAATATACAATTGTTTAGCTGTGAAAAAAAGAAGATTAGTAGAAATTTAAACACAAGCCAATTAATTCACAAATTAAAAATTTTTGAAATTTTTTAATTTTAACCAAAAGGACACGGACACCATGGCGCAGCGCCTATGGCGCGACCATAGTGGGCTTGTGCCATAGTGATTTACTCAGACCTGGTCATGGATACGGATATGGATACAGATAATACCAAAATCCCTGCGGATATCCGCCTGTATCCGCCATAAATATCCGGATACGGATACCAAAATCAGTATCCGTGACCAGGTCTGGATTTACTCCACAAAGTAGATGCGCCAAGATATCATCCAATAAAAGAAAAGAACGTAAGGGGGTGAATGCAGCAAAAAATGATTTTTGCAGAAATGCCTTTTGCGGACATATAGGCCTCGAGCTGGACATTTACCTGTTCTCCAATAGATTCAATTACTTTTTGAATTTTTTGGGTAGTTGAAGTTGAAGACAGAAACGTTGAATTGAATTCAGGAATGAAAACTCTAGGGTCGTGACAATTTTAAATATTTTCCCTTTCTGACCATTTCGACCGTCTGTGCAGTGTAGAGATATCGTTATTTTTCAGTGCTTGGGCATTTTTTCGCTCTTTTAAAGAAAACTAAAGAGAACCCATTAAAGCAGAGAAATGAAAATGTTTAAGGGAGTGTATAAATATTTGGTGTTCTTACACACTTTTCTCTCAAATTTCATTTATTTTATGCAGCGTCTGAAATTTATCATTGTTTTTTGCTTGTATATTTTGTTTTTGCTTCTGTCGTCGGTTTAATTACCCAAGTTTGAGGTACTAATAGTAACCTGCCCTTTTAAAGTGGCGACTTGGATAAATTTTGGAATTGCTTTGCCTTTATGGTGAGGCTTAAATGACTTTTTACATATAGTGTCATTAAGTAGACGTCTGCTAAAATAAAGTTCGTGTATCGCCAAGACGTACTAAATACTTTCTGTCATTATGTACCCTTCTATTCAAATCAGGGATAAAGAAAATAAAATGTGGGCCGATAATTTGATGGATCAAATAGAGTTGTACCAAAAATTTTTCCAAGGTTTAAAACCAAAATTTTGATATTCTTTGCCAAAATTAAAAAGTTTTTACAAAATTAAAAAACCGAAAGCTTGTGGAAATGAGTGATTTTATTAAAAATTCCCCGAAAATACTGTAAAGCATATAGCTATTAATTTCCTAAGGCTGTGCAGTAGGCGGCGTGGTGTAATGGCTATCACATCAGTCTCTACTGAAGATGCTGGTTCGCTCCCAGCCGCCGAAAAACCTTTTGCACTAGCTAAAGGAGAGAAAAAGATATAGCCCAGCTGCTTTACTTAAAGCCGGTATTTGTCCAAAACTCAAAACCGAAGACGCGGTTTTTAAAATTGGGATTAACCGAAAACGAGTTTACCGGTTAATAACCGGTAGTTTGGTACCAGGGCTGGGCGAAATCTAAAAATAAAATGCGAAATGCGAAACTTTTCGCGCCAAAAAATGCCAGAATGCGAAAGATGCAAAACGCGAAAGTGCGAAATAAGCCCAGCCCTGTTTGGTACCCTAGTACCAAATATTTTCTAAATAATTTTAGTACCTATTTGATAAAATATTAATTTAAATAAACACTTTTGTTTTCATATTTTATCACGTCAACTATTTAGGAAAAAAATTAAACAAACATATTAAAGCTTCTATGTCATTTGATAATTACATAATATAATTTTATTTTATTGTCATAACACTACGTGGATTTTAAAAATAATTTTTATTTTCCCTGACCTGTGGTATTAAATAAATAAAAAAATAAAATTTTCGTTAAAAAAAGAAGGAAATTAAATTTAATTTCAACACCACTTCTTTATTCTAAGCGAAAATGCTGTGTAACAGTGTCAAAGACTACTTTTTCAAAACATTGTCAAATATTTTTGAATGATGTTTTTTGGGTTTTTATGGAGATTTTTGAATATTTAAGCAAAGATTGTTTAGTTGTTAACAAAATCATTTTGCTTTGAAAATAAAATTTATTTAAAACCTTAACTAATTTGTTATCAAATATGAAGCTTATTTTGGTTTTGCTATGTTTGTTAGCTTTAATATCCGTTGTAGGGAGTACGGTCAGATTTTATTTTTTAATTTAAATACCGTAAATGTTCTAATAAAGCCCATGCCCTATTAAAAGGCCGATCAATTTGACCCTTTGAAAGATAAACGCCTATGACTTCTATTAGAGCATTTACGGTATATAAAGACATGGAAATTTTCACTCCGACACCATCATTTCGATAGGGAAATATGAAGACGCCGGAAATCAAAATGTCGGAATCAGGCAGGGTCATGGATACAGATAATATCAAAAGCCTGCGGATATCCGCCTGTATCCGTCTGTATCCGCCATAAATATGTGGATACGGATACCAAGATCAGTATCCGTGACTATGCCTGGTCGGAATTCGGAATTGCGACCGACCACTGTATGCTTCTGTGCTTCTCTGATTTCCAAACCTCAAGACCGAAAACCTCCAAGAAAAGTCTTGAGTCCAGACCAAAGAACTCAAATTTTTGAACAGCTTAAATTTTTTGCCTTGCCTTAGAATATCTTGTTGGACACACAATATCTAAGCGAGGACCCTTTGCTTTAATTAAAATTTGCAAATTATTAATAAAATTATTAAAGCTAAATAAAATTATTTAGATCAGCTGTGATTATAACGGCACGTGTACAGGAGATGGACAACCGGATTATAAAACAGTTTGTAAAGGATGTCATAGTTGTACCTACAAGGACTGTTGCAATTACTTATATGAATTGTTTCCGTGGTTTTGCTGTACGATACCTGGCTGGCGCTCTGACAAATATAACAAAGGCAATTGTAAGGGTGTATGAATAAAAGCGATTGAAAACTAAATAAATAATGAGAGAAATTTAAAATAAATTGAAAATTGTAAATAAATACTAAATATGTATGTACGTATACTTCTGCAAAAAACATTTAATCTTTGTTTCAAAAAATCATATCTCTGCTCCGGAAAAAGATATTTCTAAGCGGTTTTATGGAAAATACTCAGAAAAATATGCTTTATCATTTGGGTTTGTTAAATTTGTTCCGAAAAATTTTTCCGAAAAAATGGGATTTGGTATATCCGGTAGATCCGGATTATCTCGGCCAATTTTCATTTTTATGAAAAATGCAGAAACATGTCAACTGAGATACGAATAGAGCTTTCGATTGATATATAGAACGTATTTTTTGAATGAAAAATTAAGAAGTAAGAAAAAATTTTCTAGCGCTTCCATACTTTTTTCCACGACTGTATTATGTGAAATGATTTTGTCATGATAAATATGGGAGCAGATCAAGTACCTCACAAGGTAACGCAGAGCTATAACTCGTTTCGAATTGACGAATCTGGGTCGAACTGGTATGGTTCGATTCAGCTCATCGAGCAGCATAGAAGCATTAGGCCGTCCCAGATTCGACAATTCGGAAAGAAGCTATAACTCTGTGGTACGTTGGGGTGTACCCATCTGAAATAGAATTATCTAAAATAAAATTCTAGAATTTGAGTTTTCGTGGTTTAGCTGTATAGATGTAATTATGGGTGTAGTTCCTAAATAATTCCCGCTGTTTCTGATCGTTGTCTAAAGGAGGTGAACATAAAAAATGAACATTTATCTTACTTTTTCTTACTCTTGTATTTACTTAACATTTTCAAAAAAGTGGAGACATCTTTAAACAAAGATTTTTTTAATTAAAAAATACTCAACTCTTTTAATTAAATAAAAAAATAGAGAAAATATCATCAAACACTCACTTTAAAAATAACGAAAATATTTATTTAAAGGCTTATTTATTGCTAGCTTAATCGCAACTTCTGCAAGAATTATTTTTTTAATTAAAATGTTTAGTAAAATGTTTTTGCTTTGTTTTTATTACAAGTTTATATTAATCTATTAAATGTTACATAAAAATGTTCAAATTATCTTCTGGTTTTAATGTCGAAAAGAAATTCTGATTTATAAATTCTGATTATAAAATATTTCCGTTTTGTTTTAATTAAATTCTGATTCTGATTTAGATGTTTTTAAAAAATTCTGATTTAGTCAATTATTAATAGGTAACAGATAATTCTGATTTTCCCAAATGTTGTAAATTAATTCTGATTACTGAAAAACATAACCAAACAATTCACTACAAATTCTGTGATTTTTAAGTAAAAAAATTTTTATTTCCTTCCACCTATTTTATACAAATAAACACACAAATAATTGATTCAAATTTACAAATAATTCGTAAATAACATTTTACTTTTTTTTCTAATACAATTTTATTATTGTCATAAAGATTTCCCTTTTAATTCTTTTTTAAATTATTTTTTTGGGTGGGTTGGGGCGCAGATATAATACATTAATATGTATAGCCAAAATAATACATATAATAAATTTTATAAATATTTTTGATTATGTCAATTACTTAATCTAACAATTTCAGAATTTTTAGTTAATTATTTTCGGAAATTATGCCTAAAAAAGTATAAATTTTAACGAAAATGTCAATGTCTAGGTTATTGCAATTTATACCTTTAAAAATATTAAATAAAAATTTTTTGTTAAATTTTTAAACAAATTAAATAACACCCAAAAAGAATATTTTTATAAAATATTTAAATTTACTTTTTTTTTTACAGTTTCATAAAGCCAAGTTTTACTATCTCTCCCCTCATGACCGTATATACATAAATAGTTAATAAAATTTTTTTGCAAATTGAAAAATCTGAATTAAATTTAATCTTTTTTTATAAACATATATTTTATATTTATACCTATATTCTTTTTCCTGACCCGCATCGATCAGTATTTATTTTTATAAAATTTTATAATCCTTTGTCTATATTTGTATATTTTTAAAAAATATTTAAATCGTTTAAGGCTAAAATAATTTTTTAATAAAAAATTTATTAAAAAATTCTTTTATTTTTTAAAATTAACATTAATTTTCCATTAATTAAAAATTATTGCAAAAAAACCAAATAAGAAACTTGCACAATTATGTTTTTGTACTGATCAATGCTTCCCCAACCCTCCCCCTGTCTTCTATTTTTATTTCTTAGGTTTAAATTTTATTAAAAATTTTTTTTTTGATTTTTCTTTAATTAAAAAAATTTTTTTTTCTATCAGAAATAATTAATTTTAAAATGGATTTAACAACAAGAATTAAAATTGGAGAAAATAAAGAAAATGAGGAAACATTAAATAATAATACACAACAAATAAATAATTTAAATTTAAAAGAGAAAAATAATAAAAATAATTTAATTTTTCATAAAAACCCTTTTCACCTTCTTAATTTTGTCCAAACAACATTAAATAAATTAATTACCGAAAATTCTGAAAGTTTAAAAGAATTTGGAAAAATTGTTTTAATTGTTTTTTGGCATTCTTTTTTAGGTATTTTTCTTTAAATATTTTTAAATTAACCCTGAAGAAATATTTTTTCGAGGGAAAAATATTCTAAATTAATAAAGAAACAGGAAAAATAATTAACAAGAAAATATAGTTGTTCCGGAAAATATAACTATTGTAATATTCAGCTTTCTCCGGAAAATATAGAACTTTACGGAAAATAGAATAGACATTTTATATTTTTCCTGGACACCTATTTAATTGTTGTTCCAGAAAATATAAAACCTTCCGGAAAATATAAACTTTTCCGGAAACAACTTTCTCGGAATAAAAACTTTATTAAAATTCAACTTTTCCGGAACATATTACTAAATATTTCCGGAAAATATAACTCTCGTAATATTTATTCAGCTTTTCCGGAAAATATAGAACTTTCCGGAAAGTACAAAGTACAACTTTTTCGAAAAAATTCAAGTTTTCCGGAACATATTACCATCTCCGGAAAATACACCATTGCAATATTCATCTTCTCCGGAAATATAGAACCTTCCGGAAAATAGAATAGACATTTATGTTTTTCCTGGACATCTATTTATATTTTCCGGAAACTTTTTCCGTATCTCAAAATATAGTATTCCCAACAAATTTATTTATTTAAAATTCAGTTCTTGCTGTTCTCAATTCTTTTCAACGAGTTTTTGGCCTTTTAATATTAACAGCAATTTGTTGGTTTTTCTGGATTAAATCTAAATTTCTTTCACAACCTTTAAATAAATTATTTAACTTTTTACATTCAAAACTTGACAATATTTTTAGAAAGTCCAACAGCCAAATGTTTGTTTAAAATTAAAATATTTTATTTTAAAAATTTTTAATTGAAACCAGACTAACTTTTAGATAAACCTTTTAGGGGTGAGAAATTGTATCTTATTTTGGGGTGTATTTTGAATTTTAAGCATAAGTTATTAGCCAGCAGGGAAGACGGAAGCGTAAGATTTCGGCAAAAGACGGAAGGCGGAAAAAAATCCACCCTGTTAGGCAGCTTTCTCCATCCAATAGTCAACAAACTGTTAAAAATTTATTTTAAATTGAGTGATATCTAGTCTCTGGATATCCTCACGTTTTTTAGGTTTTTGATATCCGAATCCGAGAAACCTAGTTTTGGGGGTGAGCTTAGCTATTCTTTAGGAATAAATATTTTCCTTTTTTAGTTTTTTATATATTCTCATATTCTGTGCAATCGCCATTTTCTTGGCTTTTGATACCTACAGGTCCGCTCAATTAAATTTTTTTTTAAAAATCTCTTTATAATTAAAGATCAAAACAACGTCTTTTGGGTCTCTTTGGAATTATTTTTTATATTTTATTAATGGTATTATGCTCCCATAATGCTTCCAAAGTTTAATTTTCATCGAATATATTAATTAAAACCCCTCCCCCACAGATTGTTTGGCATCCAGTAATTTTTGGATTCTTTTTACAATTTGCACTGGGTCTTTGTATTTTACGTTGGGAATGGGGATCTACTATGTTTAATAAATTTGCGGTTTCTGAAATTTTTTAAATTTTTAAAAATTATTTTTGAAAGGATTCTGTTCTCGTTTTCCTCGAATTTACCCATAATGGGACAGATTTTGTTTATGGATTTGTTTCTTCCCCTCCAAATATTTGTGGAATGGAGCCTATTTTTGCTTTTAGGGGTATTCAAGTTGTTGTTTATTTTGGGTCCGTTGTGGTAAAATGACAGAAAATTTTTTCTTTCTTTATTCTCCTTTAATAGGCATTACTGTACCATTTTGGCATTTTACAATTTGTTATTAAAAAGATGGCATGGTGATTTGAAAATTTTTTAAAATTATTTTTAGTTAAAAAATGCGAGGAAATTGAATAAATTTATAGAAAATAAAAACGCCAATACCCATTGCTTACAGGCATAATCAGAATAAATTTCAAACATTTTAATGTTTAAGAACAACTTTTCTGTTAACTTATTAATATGTATAATTATTAATATAACATTTCTGAAAAATTTTAAAAACAGAATTTTTAATAGCAAACTTGAATAGAATTTTAAATCAGAATTTTCTGATTTAAATTCAGAATTCCAGACAAATTACGAATTTTTAAATCAGAATTTTAATTAAACTTGAATTCAGAATTTTAAATAAACAAACTTTATAGCATACATAATTTCCTATCTACTAACTGGAATTCATAATAATTAAAAAAACAATTTTCTAAGTTCCTTCCTTAATTTATTAGAAAATTAAAGGTTCGTCCAATTAACACTAAAAACAACGGCCACAGAATCTCTGAATGCTTGTGCTTGTGTTTTCTTTGGAATGAGTGAAGCTCCCCTTTTAATTCGGCCTTATTTAGAAAAAATGACTGCTTCTGGTTTTTTAAAAATTATTTTATGTTTATGATATTCCTCTATTTTTTTCGAATTACACGCTGTTATGACAACTGGCTTTTCTTGTATTGCTGGGGCTGTCTTTGCAACTTATATTAGGTAAAACTTGAAATCAGAATTTCCGAAAAATAATTCAAATCAGAATTATGTACTGAAAAATAATTTAAAATCAGAATTTCTAAAAATAAAACTTGAATCAGAATAAAAAAATAAATGGAACTTGAAAATCTAAAATCAGAATTTCTGGAAAAAATAAAATCAGAATTTCTGGGGCTATGTAAATAACTTGAATTACTATTTAACAAATAAAATTAAAATCAGAATTTTTTGGAAAATAATTTAAATCAGAACCAAAAATAGTAACTGAACCCAAAATCAAAATTTTAGAATAAACAAAAATCAGAATCAAAATCAGAATTATTATTAAAAAAAACTTGAAATCAGAATTTTAAATAAAATTGAAGCTTTGGTGCCTGCCCTCGTTATTTATTATCTGCTACAGTAATGTCTGCTCCTGGATCTCTAGCCTGTTCTAAAGTTTATCGTCTCGAATTTTAACAAATAAATTTTATTAAAAGATACTCTATCCTGAAACAGAACAAAGCCAATTAGTTAATGTCGAAGATTTGGAATTACCCAAAGGAGAAGAGACAAATATGTTGGAAAGTGTAAGCAATGGGGCAGTAATGGCAATACAACTTGTTGTCGCAATTATAGCGAATTTAATTGTTTTTCTAGCATTGCTAGCTTTACTAAATTCGGTTTTGGGGTGGATGGGAGAACTAGTTGGACAACAAGGGTGGAGTTTTGAAGCAAGTTTTGAATGTTTTTATAAAAATCAGAATTTTTATTGAACATTTAAATGCGAACTTAAACCAGAATTTTAATAAAACATGAAATAATAACTAAAGCATAAATCAGAATTTTAAATTCTAAATTGTTAAAACTTGAAAATAAACTTAAAATCAGAATTTGAAATAAACTTAAGAAATCAGAATTTTAATAAAACCAAATAACAATTGGTACATAAATCAAAATTTATTAAATCAGAATTTAAAATAAACATCGAAAAATCAGAACAATTATTTCCAAGTTTATTTTCTGATTTTTTCTTAGCTTTTTCTTGGCTATCTATTTTTCCCTCTTGCTTTTGTTATGGGTGTTACAAATCCAGGAGAAACATTTATTGTAGCACAATTAATGGGTACAAAGACTGCATTAAATGAATTTGTGGCCTATAAACAGCTTGGCCAGTTAGTCAAACAAGACAAACTTTCGGTAGAAAAATGCTTTTTTGGGTGAAATTCTGAAATTATTAAAACATGGAAAACTTGAAAATCAGAATTTTAAAGAACAATATCAGAACTAGAAACAAACATAAAATCAGAATTTTAAATGAACATTGGAAAATCAGAATTGGAAACAAACAAAATCAGAATTAAATATAAACAAACGTGAAATCAGAATTTAATATGAACAAATAGAATCAGAATTTAAATAAAATAAGGGAAAAACAAAGACTCAAGCTCTAAATCAGAATTAAAAATAAACATTAAAATCAGAATTAAATTAATTTTAAATTATTAACCAAACATTCACTTAAATTTATTTATTTTTAAGCCTCGTTCTGCAATGATAGCGACCTATGCTTTATGTGGCTTTTCCAACTTCACGTCCATTGGAATCCAACTTGGGACCCTTGGGGGAATGGCACCCTCCAGAAAAAGACTTTTATCCCAATTAGCATTACGTTCCCTTCTGGCAGGCTGTATTTCTTGTTTTTTAACTGCTTCTTTGGCTGGTGATTTTTGAATGGATTTTTAAATTATCCTTTTTTCTCCATAGGTGTATTAATCGACCAACCCATCCTATGCCGTCCTCAGAATGAAAAGGAACATTGTTTTGATGTAAATAAATTTATTTAAATTTTGCTGATTTATCTTTACATATAATCCTCACTATAACCAAAATCTCTCTATAACAAAAACTTTTACACGACACTTTCATTACAGTCATCAAACGGCCCTTTAGGGGTGTTGTTATAAAGAGATTAAAATTTTTGGCTTTAATTTTATTCAATAAATTTATTCAATTTTATTCATATTAACCAAACGGGTAGGCGCGCGGCCATAACGGCACAAAGCCATAACTTGCTTCAAGACTTCCAAATTTAGTATTAAACGGTTCCTCTCATCGAGCTAAAGAGATTGATACAAAATTGATAAGGGTCAGAAATTTCCCAGCAAGTTATGGCTTTGCGCCGTTATGGCCGCGCGCCTACTTGGGCGTGTCCCAAACCAAACAAAATTTTAATATTGGAGTAATAATCTTCTTTTGTTTTGGAAAGTTTACTATTTTTTATAAAAATTTTAAAAATTATTTTATTATTATTTATTTTTATTTTAAATAATTCTCTCAAATTAATGGCCCGTCGTGTGATAAAAATCGATTTAAAATAAAGAACAAATAAAATATTTGCTGATTACACCTTGCATTCAGCCAATAAATTATTTGTTCAAATAAATTATTATACTTAAAGTCTCTAGATAAGAATAAAAAAATAATTATTTTTCATTTTTATTAATTTAAATGGGTATAATAAACGGAGAATATACTAAAGATTCACCAGATATTGAGGTATTTTTATTAAATTCGTTGATAGAAAAATTTAAAAAAATTTTTTTAACAGTCTCTCCTAGAGCTAAATCCTCGAGTTCAATTAAATGCAACTTTAAAGCCAAGTTGTGAAACTAAATTGGAAAAGCATAGATGGAAAAGAAATGCTAATAAATCTTGTAATGTAAGGGGATTATTAAAACGTTTAATTTACTAAGGGGGGTATTCGAAGAACGAGTTACTGGGTAACAAGTAGTGTTTCGCCGGAACCGAAAATTTGGCCGGAACTGGAACTGAAATTTTGACCGGATAAGGAACCGGAACTTTACAAACAAGCCGGAACCGGAACCAAAAAATCCGGAAACTTCCGGCCTACCTGAACTGGAACTTCTGGCGAAACACAAGTAACGAGGTAACCCTCAGAAGTTCATCAAAAATCAAAAGATTTATCAGAAGCAAAGAACTTGGTAACCCTACCGTGTTCACGGAAAACGACCTCTGAATCGTCCAAAACTTGCTTAATTATTATTTAGGGTTGTGCAGAAAACCTCTATGAAAATGACTTTCGAGATATCAAACACACGACATTATCGGAGAGGGGAGCTTTGAGAGAAGCTATGAGATGTTAGCTTAATTGGGGGGTTGGGAAATAAATATAAATAATTTAAAAGGTCTGAAATGTGCAGATGCCCCTTGTCAAAAGAGCTGTCCCACACAGTTGGATATCAAAGCTTTTATTTCCAGTATTGCTAATAAGGTAGGGAGGGGGATATATGGATGACAGTCAATCCAAAAATGATATTTGGTTAAATTAAACTGAATTTCAATATAATTGCAACCAAGAGTGCCCTTTAATGTGTATCTAAAAGACAATTATACCATATATGCTTTAACAATTACCCTCTTTCAAATAATTGCATTACCCTCTCCCAAATGTTTTAAATAACGTTGAAATTTCAAAACTCGAATAACAAAAGGTTGTAACAATGATTACCCAGAATAAGCCCAGCACTCATAAGGGAGGTTCTGATTACAACTCCGTATAGTAGTATAAGAATCTTCTTGGAAACCGAATATTTCCACTTAAATAAAATAATCTTAAAATTTTCCTAATTTTTATAGAATTATTATGGTGCTGCAAAACTAATATTTTCTGATAATCCTCTTGGGTAAAATATTCAATAATAAATAAATTATTTTGCCAAAAACACTTAATTAGCTTAACTTGTGGAATGGTATGTCCAACCTCAGACCTCTGTGTCGGCTCTTGTAATTTATACGCGACAGAGGAAGGGCCCATCAATATTGGGGGTCTGCAACAATTTGCAACGGAAGTATAAAAATCTTCTAGAAAATAATTTTAAATTTTGAAAATCAGATTTTTATGAGAATGAATATACGCCAAATTGTTAGCCCTGAAATAATTAAAAATCGAAACGAGGCACATAAGCAGCAAATTGCTTTCCTTGGCAGTGGTCCGGCAAGTATATCCTGTGCTAGCTTTTTAGCCAGACTTGGCTATACAAATTTAACAATTTATGAAAAGGAGGAATATTTAGGGGGGCTAAGGTGGGTTTTTTGTAGAGTTCGACATTAGTTCGAGATCGTTTTCCGTGCCCAGTAGCCCGAAAACTGGGTATTTACTAGATACTAAATTTCTCCTGATTCTGGGTATTTTTTTCAAGGGTTTATCCCAAAAAACCAAGCCCGGGACACCTTATACCGAGCCCGGCAATTTTTTCGATATCGAGTCCGGCAATTTGAAAATGTTGAACTCTAGTTTTATATAAAAATTATTTTTAAAAATTAAATAATTTTTAGTTCTTCCGAAATTCCTCAATATCGGTTGCCTTATAACGTGGTTGACTTTGAAATTCAATTAGCCAAGGATCTCGGGATTAAAGTTTGGCAATTTGTTTTTATAGACCCTTCTTTATTATTAAAGATAGTGACAGGTCGTCAACTTCACAGGAATGACTTGACCTTGGAAAAATTGAAAGCCTCTGGTTGTAAAGCTGTCTTCATTGGGATTGGATTGCCTGAACCTAAAAGAGCCCCCATCTTTCAGGGGTTGGAATCCAAAAATGGATTTTATACCTCCAAAGAATTCCTACCTCTAGTGTCTATTGCTAGCAAAAAAAGCTAGTTTTGGATATTAATTTTTAAATTTTAAATAAAATTAAAAAATGAAGGAATGCTTAATAATTCGTGTAGCAATTGTGCTTGTTCCTCCAAAACCCCTAAGTTGCCTAAATTAAATGGACGAGTGCTGGTATTGGGAGCGGGGGATACTGCTTTTGATTGTGCTACGTCTTCTTTACGATGTGGGGCCAAAAAAGTGACTGTAGTCTTTCGGAGGGTGAGTGAACAGAACTAAAACTTAGCTATGACTAGGGTTGATTTCCGATGGGGGGAGGACCAAGGGGAAAATATTTGGAGAGGCAACGCCACGGAGGGGGGCGGCGAATTTTAAAAGTCTCGAATTCCCCTTTCGGGTAGGGGACGGAGTACAACCCTACCTATCACACGCTATCTACATAAGAATTAAATCGAAATTTTAGAAATTAATTTCAAGGGATTTACCGCAATACGTGCTGTTCCAGAAGAGGTATTTAATTTTTTTCATTCATATTAATAAGAGAATGTTCCCTTCGGACGATGGCATTGTCCTTGGTTATGTCTCCGAATTTTTTTCCTATCCAAATTTTTTATAAAATTAAAGATGGAAGCGGCACGGGAAGAAAAGTGCGAATTTATGCCCTTCATGTCCCCAAGAAAGGTGAACATGAGAGACGGCCGCATTGTTTCTGTGTAGGTTGAAGGGCTAGAATTAAATTTCTAGTAAATTAAATTAAGTGAATTTGCCAAAATGGAACAAGAATTGGATGGTCAGTGGGTTGAGGATGTTGATCAAACCCTTATTTTGCGAGCTGATTGGGTTATTAGTGCTTTTGGATCGGATTTAGTCGATCCTGAAGGTTCTTTTCCTGATTTAAAATAAATAAAAATTTATTTATTTAAGTAAAGGAAGCACTCAAACCTTTGAAATTTGACAATAATGGAATTCCTATTGTTAATACTAAAACTCAACAAAGTTCGGAAAATTGGGTATTTTTGGGAGGGGATGTAGCTGGAGTTGCTGAAACTACTGTGGTTTGGATAGAAATCCTCTAAAAATTCCCCTAAAAATTTTCTTTAATTAAAGGAATCTGTTAATGATGGAAAAACAGCCGCCTGGCATATCCACCGTTATATCCAATCATTATATGGGTTTTCAATATCAGAAAAACCAGAATTACCCCTTTTCTGTACTCCTATTGATGAGGCAATTTATTTTTGAATAAAATCATTTTTGCCAATTAGATTGATTTGTCTGTAGAAATGTGCGGTATTCGGTTTGAACATCCTTTTGGACTTGCTTCTGCTCCCCCAACTACAACTGGTGCAATGTGTAGACGGGCTTTTGAACAGGGATGGTCTTTTGTGTTAACAAAAACTTTTGGATTGGATAAGGTAGAGTGTTAAGCCAACAATAAATTTTGTGAAAAGTGAGGGGTATTGGGGGTGATTGCCTGTTCTCCTACGAGTTGATTTGTCAGTTCTCTTATGAGTTAACCGTGTTCAGTCCAGACCTCGTGTTTAGCCGCACTTGAAGGTCGAATCTGAGGAGTGGCTGAACAGAGCTGTGTTGAACTCTTTAGGCAATCAAAAATAAAAAAAGACATCCAAATAAAATCTAAATAAATTCATTCAGGATTTAGTGACAAACGTTTCACCACGAATAGTACGTGGAACAACTAGTGGGCCAATTTATGGCCCGGGACAAGGCTCTTTTCTTAATATTGAACTTATTTCTGAGAAAACTGCTGAGGTATTAAAATATAGAATTTCTTGAATTTATTTTTTGTTAAAAAGTATTGGCTAGAATGCATCCGAGAATTAAAAAAAGATTTTCCAACAAAAATAGTAATTGCTTCAATTATGGCTAGCTTTGATAAAGTCTGTTAAAGTAATAATTCTTAGAAACTAGAAAACATTTTAAAGGATGACTGGACAGAGCTAGCTGTTCGTTCTGAAGCTGCAGGTGCAGATGCGCTCGAATTAAACCTTTCTTGTCCTCACGGAATGGGTGAAAGGGGGATGGGGTTGGCATGTGGGCAGGACACTGAAATGGTTAAACAAATTTCTCAGTGGGTGAGGAGTGCTGTTAAGGTGATTTTAATTTGTTCCAATAATCCTGTTAAATATCCAAAAAAGATTCCATTCTTCCCTAAAATGACTCCGAATATAACTGACATTCGCAAAATTGCTATAGCAGCTAAAGAAGGAGGTGCGGATGGTGTAACAGCAACAAATACAGTTTCAGGGCTTATGGGATTGCGTTCAGATTCTTCTGCTTGGCCAAGTGTTGGAAGGAATAAATTGTAATAATATTATATGTAGAAGGGGCTATTTACTTCCAGGCCCGTCGCATAAGTACGTGCTAGGTGGGTAAATAACCACTAACAGGCGCTTCTATCGGTAACTATAAGAAGGTATCTCGTTGTCTTCTTATGGTATTGGTTCAGGGGTTTTAAGTCTGAATTTAGGGTGGGGAGAGAGGGGGGAGGGGATGGATGGATGGGTGGATGGATGAGGGAGGAAGATAAAATTAAATTTAATAAAATTAAATTTTAAATAGAACAACTTATGGAGGTGTTTCTGGTAACGCTATTAGACCAATAGCTTTACGGGCAGTCTCAGCCATTGCTAACGAACTTCCAGGCTTTCCTATATTAGCGGCCGGTGGAATTGATAGTGCAGAATCCGGATTACAATTTTTAAATGCTGGGGCTTCTGTTTTACAAGTCTGAACTTTCCAAAAAAATTTTTCTAGAATTTAAGAAGATTAAGAAAGTATAACTTTTAATAAAGGTCTGTTCAGCAGTTCAAAACCAAGATTTCACTTTAGTCCAAGATTATTGCAGTGGATTACGGACACTTCTCTACCTTCAGGGAATTTCTGCTTTGTCTGATTGGGATGGACAAAGTCCCCCTGTAGAGAAACATCAAAAAGGCAAACCTTTGTTACTTAAGAATGCGGTAGGTGGTGAATTGAAAAACTCAAAAAAATTTTTTTAGCATCTCCCAGCATTGGGCAACTTTCGTGAAAAGCGTTATAAATTAGAAAAGGATTTACTTGTAAAGCAGAATGGGGATTTTGTTGAAAATAATGAAGTTTACGTCACTAGGCGTCCTGATAACCAACCTAAGAAAGTTCCGAAGATTAAGGTAACTTCACAAAAATTCTTTAAAATTAATTTTCTAAAAGGACATGATAGGCACAGCTTTGGACAAAGTTGGGGCTTATAACGATTTGGACAATTCCCAACAAGTTGTGGCCGTAATTGACGATGATCTGTGTATAAACTGTGGAAAATGGTCTCAAAAATATTTTTAAAATTTAAAAAGAACATTAAAAAATTAAGTTATATGACTTGTAATGATTCGGGATATCAAGCTATAACGTTTGACAGAGATTCCCATTTGGCCCATGTTAATGAAGAAAATTGTACTGGCTGTACTCTTTGCCACAGTGTTTGCCCTATACCGGGTAATTTTATTAAAAAAAGATTTTTGGAATTATTATATTATCCTCCTCCCATTTTCTAATTCTCTTTTATTTCCTTCTCTTCTAAAATTACAAATAGTGAATGGATCTTGTGGGATTTGGGATTAATTTAGCAACAGTTATTTTAGAAAATCTCTGATGCGAGGCACACAAATGTGATTCTATTCATTAATTTGAAAACCAACTTTAAACTGTTTTCTTACAAAATTAATTCTGTTCCTTTCTATCAAATTCTCGAACTATATAGTGAGAGGTAAAAGTTTAGCTCCGTGGAGGCATAGCTCCTGCACATAATGGCCAGGGATTAAATTAATATTATAGGCAAGAAATGAAACACAGTATGTACTAGATTTCTTTTTTTCCCTACAATATTAGTTTAATCCCTGGCCATTATGCCCATTGGCCATTGGCAGAAAAGGAATAAGTAAACAAAAGTAAATTTTAAAAATGGGGATAGATAATGTGATAGTACCCTATTTTCTTTAAATCCAGCCTTTATTTTCTAAATTTCTTCAAACAGACTGCATTAAAATGGTTCCAAAACAAATTCCTCATCGTATCAATCGAGGCATTCCACCTTTACCACTTGGCACGAAACCTTCTGAAATAAAAGTATTAAAAGGAGAACGTGTTCTGCTTAGTACAAATTAAAAATAGAATTTTTTAAATTTCGATTTAATAATAATTTTTATATAAAATAACAATAATTATGTAAAGAGAAATAATTAAAGAATAAATTAAAGAGAAATTTATTTTCGAATTTTTTGGCCATAAATATTTTTAGCCGTTTTCGCTAGAATATTTTTTTGTATTTTGGATTTAATCTTATTTACGTAATAAAAGTTATTTTAATTAAAAAAATCTTTTTTCTATCTAAAAAAGGAATATTTTTTTATATATTTTTTTAAATTTTATCCAAATAAATTAGTTTTTTCCAAAATACCCAAAAAACTAAAAATTATTTTCCCTTTTTTGTACCCAACTGTATATACATAAAAGACCTTTCGATTTTTTGCTTTAATTTATCAAATCCCAGAAGATCTACCTTTAATTTTGTTTAACTCTTTTATTGCTAAAGAGATGAAAACTGGGAACTTTTTAAGAACAGGCAAGAGAAGTTAAGTTAGATAATCTATTACAGCAAAATTATGAGGGTAAGGGCGGGCAAACCCAAAAAAGCAAAAGATTGGACTGGATTTGCTCTTGAGATCTCTCCAAATTAGAGGTTGTTAACTTCTCCATTTTCGCTTTATTTACTAGGCTGTGGTGAAACTCGGAGTCTTTACATTATTTATATTAAATTTCGCGACATATTTAAATTGACGGTCCTCTCATTAGGATTCTTCAGACTGACTCAGGCCAGGGTTAATGGGATGAACTCCGAAAAACCAGATTTTATCAGAATGTACTGCCTTTGGACTAAATTGGTTTAATTTAGATAATAAATTAATTTTTTCTTTGATTTTTTGGAATTGATTTATTTTTAAATAAATCCAAAAAAAATAATTTTTTTGAGAGTTTGCCATTTTACCTTTCACAGCCATTACCCTCCACCACTCAAACTACATGCTTATAGGAGCTAAATTTAGAGCTTTATTCTTTAATAAAAATAATTTTTAGAAATCAAATGATTTTATATTTATATTAAACTTCAAACTACGGGTTGTTTTAAAGTGTTTATTTAATGAGTGTTGATGCTTTGAAGTTTCCATATTATTTTTTTTATTAATTAAAAATCCTCCATAAAAAATTTAAAAAATGAAAATAAAATTTTATTTATTTTTATTTGTTGCTTCAACTTTTATATCTTTGATGAAGAGTGATGATAATAATGACAATAATAATGATAATAATGGTGATAATAATAAATCTATAGGTTGGCCTTTCATTTTTAAATAATTTTTTAATATGGAATGAACGAATTATTTATAATATAAAGTGGCTGTCCTGATTCACGAAAATCGGGAATTTATTCAGTCACTGACACTTATCTTATGCCTATTATGGGATATCCATTGTTTGTTATATCCAATATGTCCCGTAATAACTAGGGTTCTACCACGAACATTAAAAGCAGGAGACGGAAAGAAGTAACGGAAGAGAGCCCATCCCTGGTGTATAACTCTAATTATAATTGAAGATAGTCTCATTATTTAACCTGACTTCGTAATTCTAGTAGTCGAATTTGATAGTGAATTAAACCCTAAGGACAATACTCGTTAGTAAAAAATAAAAAATGGATCGAAAAAATGAATCTTTTTACTAGTTTCCACTTATTTTCTTTTTTTTTTCAGAAAACCTCGAGAACCTTATAAATTTGGTAGATGCCCGTTTAGATGTCGTTGAAAAAATGACAATGTATAAATACCTCGAAGGATTATCAGTTCGATCAACTATAAGCGAATATAACTTTATATATAATGCTTATTTGATTGCTAATACGTCGGATTATATTATTACAAACTTTTTTCAGGCTCAGCTATATGCTAGTCAGATAGCTCAGGCAAAAATTTTTTTCCTCTTATATAAAATATCTAAGGCAAAAAATTGAAGGCCGTTTTCTTAAGGACATAATGAGTTTTCTCTGTATGAGTCACTGTAGCTTTTTCTAGACCTGTAATAGGACCATCCATAAAATAGAGTCGTATTTTAAGCCAAATTCCTTGTTAGAAACAGACGTCGTTGTTGACCTCCATATGATGTTAGTAGGATTTTGGAGGATCTTTATTTTCTATAAAAAGAATGGCACGATAGATATAGGACAACTTTAGCTGAATCATATAGTAGAGCCATATTAGATTAAGAATTAGAAGGGGGGTTAACGTTATGGATCACCAATATCCGTGAGAAAGAAGATGGTACTTTCCAGAGGGTGCCGAAAATGATTTTAGAAAGGGAAAAGCGGAAGACTAAGGATAAACTGGCACACCTCTGGTACTAGCCTTAGAAAAGTTATATCATCTAAGAGCTTTAAAATAATTATTCAGAATGCCTATATGAACATATGGACAACTTATGGTGGCCCTTCGGAAATGATAACATATGAACAGTATTCAACTGTTTTAGCCCCAGCTTTGGACAAAATAACCAGAGAATTAATCAAAACATTAAAGCTTGTTGCCCCAATTACTTTCACTAAAGAATGCCCAAAATTATTAAAAAAGGCAAAGGCTAATTTGTTAAAAGAAGGAAAAATTGACTCATTTATGGCACCTGCTAGAGCCGAAGCATTATATGTTGCGTTGGGGACTGTTTGCAATGTTCCGAATAATTTAAAAAAATGAAGGGAAGAATTAAATTAAAAAAAGGATAATTTTTTAAATTAAAAATTGGGAATGAAGATGGAATAAAAAATACTAAATTTTAACAGTAATACAGTCGGACCCTATACCTATAAGATAACCCTTGGGGCTGAAAAACATATCCTTAAAGAGGGGTATTTTTAATATGAATTTACGTGTACTCTCCGATTAGACTGGATCGGAGACTCCGACCCAGAGATCATTTAATTAGTTAAAAACGCAACTTAAATTGATGCGTATAATCCGACTGTATTCATTTTATAAGGGAAAAATAATTTTATATTAAAAAAACATAAATGTTATTAAATTATTTTAATCTATTCCGGAATTAAAATTTATATTATTTGGGCTGATAAATAAATAAATAAAATTTCTCGAGAAGTATAAGCTCTAACATTACTTTAGGTCCCTAAAAACATTTCTATTTCTTGTAAGGGAAGAGGAGAGATGTAGGCAAGCATTTTATACGATTACTATCAAGGGGCGGTATTCTAAAATCGAGACAAGGGTTAACCAACCCTCAGCTGCCGAGTTCTGGGTTGATTTTTTTTGAAATGAGGGTTAACTCTCAATTCGGTGCTCTACATATTACCCGAGTAAGAGAACCTGGTAAATTTACCAGCTCCTACAACCTTGTTTTAAAATACCGCCCAGGAGTTTAAGACTATTATTAAAAGATAAGCTCAGACGGTAGAGCACCTGTATTTAGTATATGTGCCAAGTAATAACTTCCAGGAGTTTGAAGGATCGATGCCTACCCGGGTGTAAACTTTTATTGCCTATCTCATGCTCTATCGGAATTTCCAAAAGATTCCGTTTTTTTATTTCATTGAGATCCATGAAGGTAAAAAATAATCTCGTTTTTTAACTATCCTTTCCAACAAAGACCCTTTCCTTGGCCAATCACCAAAATAAATAATTTTTGAATCATTCTTCATTGTCTGTAACAGATACGCACTCCACCAACTAAAAGTTCCAGTAGAGATTATTAAATGATTACATTTAGATAACACAGCCATATCAAGCTCTCTATAACCGCTATCTAAGTATTTGATAAATATTCTTTTGTTGCTTCCTTCGATCCCTCCAATATTTCTTTTTGCCCAAGACATATTATCAGAAATAACCAAAAATATTAACAAATTATTTTTAAATTTGTTTTTAAAATATTTTATAGCGTTTTTGTAATATTCAGAGGTGGCCACAGTATGTCCATAACGCTGATTCCTCTGATGCATAGTTAAATCAATCCCGTGTCTAGCATGAATGCCGATAAGAAGGGGAGAATTTTGGCTTAAAAAATATAGTAAAGCTTTGAAAAATTTGGTAAAAAGGTGTCACATTGGTAAAAGTGTAGTTTATACGACACATTAAATCTCACTGAATTTCTATCTATTTGCCACTGGAGTGGAATGTAACCAGTGTCCTGGGACGTTTCGGTATGTGTGTACTACGTTCCCAATATGTGTGTACCAGGGGTGTGCCGAAAGTGATTTTAAAAAGCGAAAGGCGAAACTCGCACACCCCTGGTGTGTACTACTACTTGAATTTTCATTAGCGCCCCGTATTCCCATAAAATTTTTATCGGATTGGATAGATCTACTCACCCAAAGTTATGGTAAACACGCAACAATACCGGACCATAGGTTCTAAAAAGCTGAGCTAGGTACTTATCGCCATAGATCGTTCTGGTTGAGTGTGCGCCAGAGGTAAATAGATGGGAATTTTGGTCCCCGTCCCCAAAAGTCGTGGAATTTGAGAGTACTTATCAGATGTTGTGACTTATTTTCAGCTTATCTTAACCTTTTTGAGTCATGAGTACGATTTTAAACCTTTAATATCATTTTTCCCCCTCGGGGACTAACCCTAAATAATAAATGGGAATTTTGGGAGAAGTGGATTTTTACCAAAAATTTTTTTAGAAATAAAATTAAAGAATTATTATTACTTTATTTTCCTTCGATTTCCAACCAAAATATCATTCAAAATTAAATTCGCTCTTTCAACTATCCCGGGAAGAAAATTAAAATTTTTTAAAATTAATTGAGCATGTGTTGGATGAAAGTAACGATAAGATTGGAAATATCCATTAATTATTGAAATATTTTTATATTTATTTTTCCAATTTATTTTGTCGTTAAATGAAGGGATATACTTGCAGCAATCCTGTAAGAGAGAGGAAAAAAAGTTTTTTGACAGGATAAACTATCATTACCTCAAAATTTGTACTTGTTTCAGTATTCTCAACAATTAATTTTTGTAATTGTTTTGCTTCAATAAATAAAACTTGCTTGTCTAAATTAAAAGCCCTTCTAAGTTTACAGTCACTTGGAAGCAATAAATAGGCATTTTCACGTTCAGCCAAAACTCGTAAGGCAGCAAATTGAAACATTAAGTTTCCAAGTCCTGGACTGGATTCGTTAAATTTATTTGTTTAATATGTATTGCTAAGCAAGGATGGAAAAAGGGGAGGAAAATGATCAGATAAGGCTTTTGAATATAGTGGGAGAATAGAGAAAAGAGCAGTTGATTAGTACAAAGTAGAAGCCAGCAAAATGGAGCTGTATGCTAATCATAATTTCCTAGCAAGAGCTTATCAACCCCGGGAAAGCCGGTCTCTTTACCGATCAGTATAATATAGTCATAGTCCCCAGGCCGATCAAATTCCTTCCCTTATTCTGAATCTATATTTGTTCAGTATCGCCACATGGGACTCCTAACATAGCACGCCACCTAACCAGCATTAATTCCATTCTATCCAGCACACGCTCTAATGGTATAAAGGAGGGGTCTATCTTATCTATTGGTATAAAGAATGTAATGAATTCACTGGGATGAAATGCTTTACTTAGGTCTAAATGATGAACATACTAGGAGGGACATTCTTTTTGTTCCAACCCATTCTTATCTTTGAAGGGAATATACATAGGTAGTTTTAAAATTTTCTTTCTAACATAATATCATTTTTTAAGATTAATTTTAATTTTACCTGTAAGTAAAATCTCCAGTAATATATTTACCATTAGCATTATTTTTCCTAATCGCTTCATCTATATTCTCATAAATTTTAGTTTCGGACAATTTCCAAGGCTGATCAAATTCCAAGTTATCCCCTCCTCGAGGAAATACAACCGTTCTTTGTAAAACAAACAAATTTTTATTTTTAAAGTCATTTTTTGCATTAAAATAGGGTTGGATTTGTAAAAAATAAAGAAATAAAAGGATTGTAATAAAAATAAATAAACTTAAAGCAAGGCAAAATATTAAAGGAAAAAGCTTTCGGAAAATAAAATTTCGTAAAAAATTAATCCAAAAACGACGGGTTAATAAAGAGAAAATAAAATATAGATAGCAAGTCATTATTTGCGTATATTGATTTAGCGGGATTTATTGAATTGGATGTATACAAGGGATATTAATAATGGATAAATATTGATAGAGGTTGGATTCGTTCGCAGGTTTAATAATTGGGAAAATGAGAGAATGACCTCGATTTTTATTTAGTAGAAGCGAGGTATAACTTGATCCTAAGGGATTGGCCGGAAGATACATAAGACGAAATGGGCTATAATATGTTGAATTCGTTGAATTCAATTGTTAAAAGTAATTTAAGTTAAAAGTAAAAGTAACTACATTGTTAAAAGTAATTTCCGCTATTAAAACTTTTAGGAAATCTATTGAGACGAATTCGGTAAAATGGTTTTTTTTCTGCTTTTCCAAATTTTAATAAAAAAACTAAAAAGGTAAGGGACAAATCAATTGATACCAAAATTAGTAAGATTGGATGATTCTGTCCGAAGTAAATCAAATTTTTATTGTTGTATACCATCAAGTTTTTTAAAGAATTGTTAATAAAATGAAAAAAGGAAATGTCAATTTTTATTAAATTTGAAAAAGTTACAAAAATTTTCTGCACTTGTATGTATATTCGTTTACGAAGCAAAAGGTTTACGGAATTTTGGTTAGAGTGATTAATTAATTAACAGAGATTAGTTGATCAATAGGGAGATAGAGTAACAACAGATTGGATCTCTTTGTACAAAATTTTAAATGCGTTTTCTCCATTTGGTGACCAAAATTTCAGTACCCAATACCTCGGATTTTTAGTTAGTGACCAACGCCGGTGACCAAAATTCCGATATCCAAGCAAAATTTACTATATACATATAGTGCTTGTTTAAAAGATATGAAAAAAATAAATTGAAAAAAAAAATAAAAAATATTTAAAAACAGTCAGTCGTCTTTTGAATGAATTTTCCAGATGGTTCCGAAAGTTCAAATTTTTTAACATTTGAAGAAATTTTCTTTTTAGTTTATAAATTAATCTTTATTTAAAAATCGTCTTCCTGTTCATCCTTAGGTTCTTCGTTAAGATCAAAAGGAAAATATTTTTGATTTAAATTTATTTGTTTTTTGCCTTTTTTGTTAACTTTATTCGATTCTTCTACTACAATTTGATTATTTTCAACCTCGTTTTTATTAAATTCGCCCTCCTCATGATCATCGAAATCAACTGGCAATTTAGCTTTATTGCTATATTCATCAGTCTGTATATTAACAAATGAAGTTTCTTGATTATTATCAGATTGAGTCTTGGTAATGGTTTGGTATTCGCCCCCATTCCCCCCTTTTTTCCTTTCTATTTTTTCCTAGCTTCTCATATTTTATGGCAAATTAGTATATATCATTCGAAAGAGCCATTCGAACTGAGTCGAATGACATTAAAATCAACGAAATTTGACTTAAGTGAACAAAGACCGTTTATTTTATTCCTTTGAATCTGCGCAAAAAATTTTCCCAACGAGGATTTGGCTTTATATTTGTAAGAATCATCAGATCTAGCCAATTTTGGTATCATTCGACCAAGCCCGAAGAGCTGTTTCGAATGATATATAATAAATTATATATCATTAAAAAAGCTTAAAATGGTCAGAGAAACGGAGGAAAAAAGCGGGGAGGGGCGAATTCCAAACTATTACCTTAGTCTTTCCTAAGCTTGAACTATCATTTTGTAAATTTTCTTTTTCATTTTTCTTTTTTAAACTGTATTTACGAGAATATACTCGCCTCTTTTCTACATTAGTTTTATTCCATTTTTGCGCCTTTTCAATATACTTTTGCTTGTTCTTCAGGTAGTATTCCTTCTGCAGTTCTTGCATCTTTTCCTTATTATTCTGATAGTATTTTCGATCAGATTTCTTTTTATTTTCTTTATAATTTTCAGAATTCTTAATTTCTTTTATCTTCTCTTTATTCTTCTGATAATAATTTTTATTATATTCTTTTTTCCACAACTTTTTTTTCTCTTTTGCAATAGACTTAGGACTTGAGGTTTCTTTATATTTTAAAATTTGAGGATTAACCGACGAAGATTCAGCCCCCTCAGTTAATATTTGTGTTAAATCTGTTGATGTTCCCTCAACTCTAATTAAATCTTTTTTATTTTTAACAGAATTAATTAAACTCCAAAATGTTGAATTGAAGATTAAAAAGATTAAAACTTTAATAAACTTCATTCTTAATTGAATTTTAAATAATTTATAATTTATAAGAACAAAAAGCTAGGTGGTCGTATAATTTCACTTCTATTAGAGCTACCGTAAAAGCTCTAATAGAAGTTCATTCCTAATAGAAGCCCATTCACTATTATAAGCCTAACCGATGAAGGGTATTGAAGAATACAAGCCCAGGGCTTCTATTAGAGCTTTTACGGTAATTATTTTCAAATCCTTCATATTCTATTAAAAAGACTAAATAAATAAAATAAAATCCTTTTCTGTCGCCTTTTTATCGAGAAAATTCTCTTTCTTAAATTTGATTTATTTACATATTAATTACATATTAGACTAAGAAATTGCTCAAACACTTGTTGATTTGTAAAGATATTATTATGAAAAGAGATAAAAAAATATTCGTTGAAAGAGGCATAGTCGAGGAATATTTTGGTCCTTTAATTAAGACAAATTAAAGGAAGAAAAAAATTATTTAGACAAAAAAAGTCGACAGAAAATAAAAATTTTCCATCAATGCCCACAAAGCTACATATAATGAAAAGTCCAAAAGCAAGTTTTCTATACGGGTTGTAAATTTAGTGCCATTAAATCAGAATTTTATGGACTGCAAAAATATTAAATGAAAAAATTATTAAAAGGGAACAAATTTGAGAGGAACAAATTTGCTGATCCACAGCAGAGGTGAATCGGAATTCCGATTTCCGACTTCCGAAAATTTTCAAGTATTTCCGAGTTCCGACTTTTGAGCCATTTCCGATTTCCGGCAACTACGTCAGCTTCAATTCATCTCTGATCCACAGAATAATAAATGAAAGTTCAACTAATCATTTTAATACATATATCCATCAACTTGGTCTCATTAAACTAGATAAGTTGTTACGAAACAAAGAAAAATGTTTGAAAATCGGAAATAGAAAAAAAAGTTTAAAAAATATCGAAATTGAAAACTTTTCGTTTAAATTTTTGAATTTTATAAATGCAACTATAAGTAGTATTTATATATTTTCATGCACTGTTCATTAAATAAAAATCCGTTAATTTTTATAAAATTAAGCCTGCTCATGAACACTGATTTTGGTATCCTTAATCGGATACAGGCGTATATCCGTAGGCATCTCGATATTATCTGTATCCATAAATGTACCCATATTCAAGTCTGGTCTTAGGATGTCAAAAAGCTTGATGAATCTCCTTTGAGTTTACGTAATTTGTCATTAATTGATAATTATTCTCTTGCGCCAAAGAGGCCCAAAATTTATTTTTAATATTCTTAAAATCTGTCAACTTACTTGAAGAATAAAGAGAAGATAAATGAAAATATTCGGAATTATCAACAAAAAAATAAAGATAAATTAAAAGAAATTCGGAATTCTGAAAATTATAAAGAAAATAAGAAAAAATCTGATCGAAAATACTACCAGAAATCCCCGAATATGGACGAATTTTTGAAAGAAGCAGCTTGGAAAGTGTGGTTTTCTTGAGTTTCAGACCCTAAGCAATTCAGTAAAAAATTGGGTTTTCATATAATTGCCAGTCCTAATAACAAGTAAACTATCGGATTTTCATTGATATAAATGTCTTTTTCCTAATAAATATGTAATGTTGTTCGCAAGCCCCCACCTTCTTCTAAGTACATTGTACATACTTGGCAATCTTTTTCAAAATTTTAAATTTTAAATAAACAAAAGAATTTTATAAAATGTAAACGGATATAATAATAAATATTATAAATTTATTCAATTTTTGAATATCATTAAACACTTGTGTGAAGTCCCAAAAGTTGAGATGTCTCATCGGGCAATCCAGCTCCACTGGTAGGGTGTCTAGCTCTCAATTCTGGAGAATATTCAGCTATTTGAGAGGGGGCACCATTTTTAGGTCTCAATTCCAAAGTGCTGTCAGATCCAACGCTTTTTGGAGGCATCGATTCGGCTCCTCCAAAACCCTGATTTTTCAATAAAATTAAATAAACTTGAAGCAAGGCAAAATATAAATTGAAAAAGCTTTCGGAAAATAAAATTTCGGAAAAAATTAATTGAAAAACGACGGGTTAATAAAGAGTAAATAAAATATAGATAGCACGTCATTATTTGCGTATATTGATTTAGCGGGATTTATTTAATTGTGTATATAAGGGATATTAATAATGGATAAATATTGATGGAGGTTGGATTAGTTTGCAGGTTTACTTATTAGGAGAATGAGAGAATGACCCTGATTTTTATTTAGTAGTCTATTGGGACCAATTCGGTAAAATGGTTTTTTTCTGCTTTTCCAAATTTTAATAAAAGGCAAAAAGTCAGTTACGAATCAATTGATACCAAAATTAGTAAGATTGGATGATTCTGTCTGAAGAGAATCAAATTTTTATTGTTGGATACCATCAAGTTTCTTAAAGAATTGTTAATAAAATAAAAAATAATGACAATTTTCATTAAATTTGAAAAAAAGTTAAGACAAAAAAAATTTTTACGAAGCAAAAGAGTTACGGAATTTTGGTTAGAGTGATTAGTTGATTAACAGAGTGATTATTTGATCAATAGAGAGAGAGTGATCAGTTGAACAACAGACTGATAATCAACTGATTTATCTCTTTGTGAAAAATTTTAAATTTCGTTTTTTCCGTTTGGTGATCAAAGATCTGAAAAATTGGTGACCACAGTTCCGAAAAATTTAGGTGATCAAAATTCCGGTACCCAAGCAAAACTTACTACAGTGCGGTGCATATGTTTATCAACTTTATAAATTTCTTTTTAATTCTTAATTTTTTATTCAAAAAAATACGTTCTATATATCAATCGAAAGCTCTATTCGTATCTCAGTTGACATGTTTCTGCATTTTTCATGAAAGTGAAAATTGGCCGAGATATCCGGATTAAGCCGGATATACCAAATCGCATAGCCTCGGAAAAAATTATCGGAAAAAATTTAACAAACCCATTTGATAGAGCATATTTTTGTGAACAATTACCACAAAACCGCTTAGAAATATCTTTTTCTGGAACAAAGATATGATTTTTTGAAAATGGCATTTTTCGCTTAAAAATTGAATTTTTTTCAAAAATAGACGAAAAATGCCATTTTCAAAAAATCATATCTTTGTTCCAGAAAAAGATATTTCTAAGCGGTTTTGTGGTAATTGTTCACAAAAATATGCTCTATCAAATGAATTTGTTAAATTTTTTCCGAAAATTTTTTCCGAGGCTATGCGATTTGGTATATCCGGCTTAATCCGGATATCTCGGCCAATTTTCACTTTCATGAAAAATGCAGAAACATGTCAACTGAGATACGAATAGAGCTTTCGATTGATATATAGAGCGTATTTTTTTGAATAAAAAATTAAGAATTAAAAAGAAATTTATAAAGTTGATAAACATATGCACCGCACTGTATATAGTGCTTGTCTAAAAGATATGAAAAGAAAATAAATTGAAAAAAAAATAAAAAATATTTAAAAACAGTCAGTCGTCTTTTGAATGAATTTCTAGATCACTCCAGGGCCTGTACAATAAAAGCGGGGTTTGGGTTATTTAACCTCTACCCGAGGGTTAAATAACCCTCAACCCGCGCAATAAATAAAAACCCGGGGTTGGGGGTTATTTAACCCCGGGTTATTAACCCGTTTATTTAACCCGGTCATTTAACCACGATTTTATTATACGGGCCCAAAAGTCAAATTTGCATGCATAAATTTTCTTTTTTAGCTTAAAAATTTATCTTTATCTAAAAATCGTCTTCCTGTTCATCCTCAGGTTCTTCGTTAAGATCAAAAGGAAAATATTTTCGATTTAAATTTAATTGTTTTTTGTTTTTCTTGTAAACTTTATTCGGCTCTTCTTCCTCAATTCGATTATTTTCTTCCTTGTTTTTATTAAATTCTCCCTCCTCGCGATATGAACTATCATCAAAATCAACTGGTAATTTGCCTTTATCGGTATATTCACCAGTCTGTATATTAACAAATGAATTTTCTTCATTATCAGGGCCCTATTTCAATTGTCCACAGATTCTGCGGTCTGCGTTCTGTGCACAGACCACAGAACCACAGAAATTCTGTTTCAATTATTCCACAGATTCTGCGGAAAAAGAAGTCCGCAGATTCTGTGGAAACATGCACAGAATCTGTGGAAACATCCACAGATTCTGCAAAACATCCAAAAACATGCAAAAACCACAGAATTCTATTTCAATTATTTTTCTGTGCACAGAAAAAAATCCACAGATCTGTGGCTTTTTTAGTCGATTCTGTGCATTTCTGTTTCAATTATTTCTGTGGTCTGCGGAAAATACACAGAATTCTTTAAAAAATCCACCCTAAAATTTTTTCTGCGAACTTTCTGTGGAAAAACTTTAACAATTTTTTTCTAGGCCTAGGCTTAACCAAATTTCAAAATTTTTAAAGATTATTAAAGTTTGAATCATTCTCTATTTTTTGATATAAAAATTATAATTTTATTACCTAAAATTATTGCTTAAAATTAATTTTGAAAAAGGTACATCTTTTTTACGCAGTTTTTGTTATATTCAAGCAATAAAAAAATAAAAAACGTGAGAGATTCTGAAATTTAGAGCTATGATGTTCTAATCATCATGGATATCTCTAATGAGGGGATGTTTACCAGGATCTATAGAATATATCTGTATAGCGTATACTGGGATATCTCCCATGATCTCTCATTGATATCCGTCATAATCTCTCCTCCTATTTAATGATAGATTTCCTCCTTAATCACTCCAATATATTAAACCTCAAAATCAATGGATATCCCACTTAATCACTCCTCTACGATTTTAAAGTTCCGATTTGACTATAATTTTGGATTCCAGGCATTTTCGATTTCCAGGAACCTCAATTTCTGACTAAACAATCCCCAAACATTTCCCTCCCTTGCAACAACTTCTATCGTAGTTTGAAAAAGCCACATGTCGGATCGACATCTCCTGATTTTTCCGATCCGAACCCTGCTTTAGGACATTAATTTAATTGGAGATTTAAGGATATTGGATGAACAAGAAAATTAAGCGGTATATCAGCGGTTTTAAAGTGATATCAAAGAGATTTAAAGGGATGTTATGTGATTTGGAGGGAAAATTTTTAAATCTTTACAATATTTTTCAGTTTAATTTAAGAATTTTTAAAGTTTTACTTCAAAAAATCAGGTACCATTAATACTGCGGTAGTACCGAACTGTCCAAACCATTTTTCGTTTCAATAAAACTGTTATTTTCAAAAACGCGGAAATAAAAAATTTGAATTTAGAAGAAAAAATACACAGAACCACAGAAAAATAATTGAAATACAAATTCTGTGGATCAGTGGAAAAAATCCACAGATTTTTATATTTTCCACAGAAATTTTCATCCACAGAATCTGCGGAATGTTTCCACAGAATCATTGGATGTTTCCGCAGAATCTGCGGGCACCACAGATTCTGTGCACACAGAATTTAATTGAAACAGAATTTCCACAGAATCTGTGTTCTGTGCACAGAATGCAGAATCTGTGGACAATTGAAATAGGCCCCAGATTGGAATATTCCTAAGTTTGAACTATTATTTTGTAAAATTTCTTTTTCATTTTTTTTTTAGTCGGTATTTTCGTTTGTTCTCACGATATTTTTCTTTATTCTTCTGGTAGTATTTTCGATCAGATTTTTTCTTATTTTCTTTAAAACTTGCAGAATTCCGAATTTCTTTTAACTTTTCTTTATTTTCTTGGTAATAATTTTTATTATTTTCATTTATCTTCTCCTTATTCTTCTGATAATAATTTCGATTATTTTCATTTATCTTTTCTTTATTCTTCAAATAATAATTTTTTTTATATTCTTTTTTCTTCAACTTTTTTTCCTCTTTTGTAATAGACTTTGGGTTTAACGTTTCTTTATATTTTTGAATTTGAGGATTATCCGACGACGATCCAGCCACCTGTGTTAAATCCTTTGATGTTTCTCCAATTTTAGTTAATTCTTTTTTATTTTTAACAGAATTAATTAAACTCCAAAATGTTGAATTGAAGATTAAAAAGATTAAAACTTTAATAAACTTCATTCTAAATTGAATTTTAAATAATTTATAATTTATAAGAACAAAAAGCTAGGTGGTCGTATAATTTCTTAACACTTCTATTAGAGCTACCGTAAAAGCTCTAATAGAAGCCCATTCCCTATTATAAGCCTAACCGATGAAGGGTATTGAAGAATACAAGCCCAGGGCTTCTATTAGAGCTTTTACGGTAATTATTTTCAAATCCTTCATATTCTATTAAAAAGACTAAATAAATAAAATAAAATCCTTTTCTGTCGCCTTTTTATCGAGAAAATTCTCTTTCTTAAATTTGATTTATTTACATATTAATTACATATTAGACTAAAAAATTGCTCAATCACTTGTTGATTTGTAAAGATATTATTATGAAAAGAGATAAAAAAATATTCGTTGAAAGAGGCATAGTCGAGGAATATTTTTTGTCCTTTAATTAAGACAAATTAAAGGAAGAAAAAAATTATTTAGACAAAAAAAGTCGACAGAAAATAAAAATTTTCCGTCGATGGCCACGAAGAAATAATAAAACGTCCTAAAGCAAGTTTTCAATACGGGTTAGGAATTTTAATGCTCTTAAATCAGAATTTTGTGGACTGCAAAAATATTAAACGAAAAATTAGTTAAAAAATAAAATATAAAATTAATAGACATTCAAAAGGGAACAAATTTGAGGGGAACAAATTTGTTGATCCACAGCAGAGGTGAACGGAAATCCGAGTTCCGAAAATTTACCATTATTTCCGACCTCATCAAGTAGAAGATGGACATCATGATCAGCAGCTGGATGTTCTGGATGATTTTGATTTGAGTTTCCTGGATGATCCAAATTTTTTGTACTGAATTTTTCAAAAATTTTTAAGGATGATGAAATTTTTATGAAATTTTATAATGTCTTTAACTGTCTCTCTATTAATAAATAATTAGGACTGGCTTTTTTGAGAAGGGGCACCATTTATAGACGAAAAAACTGTAAATATGCAAATAAAATATAGGTAAAAATATAAGATAAATCCCCAAATAGGGACGAAATATGGAATATTTTTGAGAGCAAACAGCTCGGAATGTGTGGGTTTCTTGCGTTTCAGACCCTAAGCAATTCAGTAAAAAATAGGGTTTCCTTACAATTGCCAGCCCTAATAATAAGTAAACGATCGGATTTTCCTTGATATAACTGTCTTTTTCCTAATAAATATGTAATGTTGTTCTTCAGCCCAATCTACCTTCCTTTAAGTACATTGTACTTGACAATCTTTGTAAAGCAATAGCTATTTACTTCCTAAGGCTATGCAATGAGTGTAATGGCTAACACATCAGTCCGGTCTACTGAAGATGCTGGTTCGCTCACAATCGCCGAATACCCTTTTGCACTAGCTAAAGAAGAGAAATAGCTATAGCCCAGCTTTTTTACTTCTTTTTCAAAATTTAAAATTTTAAATAAACAAAAGAATTTTATAAAATGTAGAGGAATATAATAATAAATATTATAAATTTATTCAATCCTTGAATATCATTAAACACTTGTGTGAAGTCCCAAAAGTTGAGATGTCTCATCGGGCAATCCAGCTCTACTGGTAGGGTGTCTAGCTCTCAATTCAGGGGGATATTCAGCAATTTGTGAGGGGGCGCCATTTTTAGGTCTCAATTCTAAAGCGCTGTCAGATCCAACACTTTTTGGGGGCATCGATTCGACTCCTCCAAAACCCTGATTTTTCAATAAAATTTTTTTAAATAAATTTTTAATTACGGGTGCCATAAATTGTTGTTGCCTTAGAGTACCTCCAGGAACCTTTTCTTGATCCTGCCTTCTTTTAACTTTGACAACCCAACAACTGAGGATTAGATAGATAGATCTACTCACCCAAAATTATGGTAAACACGCAACATTACCGGACCATAGGTTCTGAGCTAGATACTTATTGCCATAGATCGTTCTTGGTTGAGTGTGCGCCAGAAATAAATAGATGGGAATTTTGGTCGTTCAGCCAAAACTCGTAAAGCATCAAATTGAAACATTAAGTTTCCAAGTCCTGGACTGGATTTTTAAATTTGTTTAATATTGCTAAGCAAAGATGGAAAAAGGGGAGGAAAATGATCAGATAAGGACTTCAATATAGAGAGCAATAGTGGAAAGAATAAATAGTTGATTAGTACGAAGTAGAAGACAGCGAAATCTGAGTAGAAGCCAGCAGAAAGAAGCTGAGATTCTCTAATCATTATTTCCTCGCAAGCGCTTATCAATCCTGGGAAAGTCGGTCTCATTACCGCTCAGTATAATAAAGGTATAGTCCAAAGGCTGATCAAATTCCGTCATAAGGCTGATCAAGTCCCAAGGCTGATCAAATTCCTTCCCCATATTCTTAATCTATATTTGTTCAGTATCGGGACACCAACACAACTTAAACAGCATCGAGCCCACGCTTTAGTATAAATATTTTTTTTGAAGTGATAGAGTTTTGAAATTTTCTTTCTAGGATTAATTTTGATTTTACCTGTAAGTAAAATCTTCAGTAATGTATTTAGCATTAGCATTATTATTACTAATCACATCGTCTATATTCTCATAAATTTTAGTTTCAGACAATTTCCAAGGTTGATCAAATTCCAAATTATCCCCTCCTCGAGGAAATACAACCGTTCTTTGTAAAACAAATAAATTTTTATTTTTAAAGCCATTTTTTCTATAAAAATAGGGGTGGTTTTGTAAAAAATAAAGGAATAAAACGATTGTAATAAAAATAAATAAACTTGAAGCAAGGCAAAATATAAATTGAAAAAGCTTTCGGAAAATAAAATTTCGTAAAAAATTAATCCAAAAACGACGGGTTAATAAAGAGAAAATAAAATATAGATAGCAAGTCATTATTTGCGTATATTGATTTAGCGGGATTTATTGAATTGGATGTATACAAGGGATATTAATAATGGATAAATTTTGATAGAGGTTGGATTCGTTCGCAGGTTTAATAATTGGGAAAATGAGAGAATGACCTCGATTTTTAACTAGTAGAAGCGAGGTATAACTTTAACCTAAGGGATTGACCGGAAGATACATCAGATGAAAGGGGATATAATATGTTGAATTCGTTGAATTCAATTGTTAAAAGTAATTTAAGTTAAAAGTAAAAGCAACCACATTGTTAAAAGTAATTTCCGCTATTAAAACTTTTAGGAAATCTATTGGGACCAATTCGGTAAAATGGCTTTTTTCTGCTTTTCCAAATTTTAATAAAAGACTAAAAAGGTCAGGGACGAATCGTGGTTCCAAAATTAGTAAGATTGGATGATTCTATCCGAAGTCAATCAAATTTTTATTGTTCAATACCATCAAGTTTCTTAAAGAATTGTTAATAAAATAAAAAAGAAATGTCAATTTTCATTAAATTTGAAAAAGTTATGAAAAAAATTCTTTTACGAAGCAAAAGAGTTACGGAATTTTGGTTAGAGTGATTAGTTGATTAACAGAGTGATTATTTGATCAATAGAGAAAGTGATCAGTTGAATAACAGACTGATGATCAACTGATTTATCTCTTTGTGGAAAATTTTAAATTTCGTTTTTCCTTTTGGTGACCAAAGGTCTGAAAAATTGGTGACCACAGTTCCGAAAAATTTAGGTGATCAAAATTCCGGTACCCAAGCAAAATTTACTATATAATGCTTGTCTAAAAGATATGAAAAGAAAATAAATTAAAAAAATAAAAGATATTTAAAAAAGTAAATCATTTTTTGAATGAATTTTCCAAATCGCTCCGAAAGTGCAAATTTTTTAACGTTTGCAGAAATTTTCTGTTCCAATTTAAAAATTATTAATCTTTATCAAAAATCATCTTCTTGTTCATCCTCAGGTTTTTCGTTAAGATCAAAAGGAAAATATTTTTTATTTAAATTTATTTGTTTTTTGTTGTTTTTGTTAACTTTATTTGGCTCTTCTGTCAAAATTCGATTATTTTCCTCGTTTTTATTAAATTCTCCCTCCTCGTGATCTGAACTATCATCGCAATCAACTGGAAATTTACCCTTATTGACATATTCATCAGTCTGTATATTAACAAATGAAGTTTCTTCATTATCAGATTGAGTCTTGGTAATAGTTTGGTATTCGCCCCCTTTTTCCCTTCTATTTTTTCCTAGCTTCTCATATTTTATGGCAAATTATATATCATTCGAAAGAGCCATTCGAACTGAGTCGAATGACATTAAAATCAACGAAATCTGACTTAAGTGAACAAAGTGTCGTGACCGTTTATTTTACTCCTTTGAATCTGCACGAAAAATTTCCCGAACAAGGATTCAGCTTTATAATTTTCGTAGGAATCATCAGATCTAGCCAATTTTGGTATCATTCGACCAAGCCCGAAGAGCTGTTTCGAATGATATATAATAAAATATATATCATTCAAAAAAGCTTAAAATGGTCAGGGAAACGGAGGAAAAAGTGAGGAGGGAGGCGAATTCCAAACTATTACCCGAGTCTTTCCTAAGCTTGAATTTGAACTATAATTTTGTAAAATTTCTCTTTCATTTTTCTTTTTTAAATAATATTTACGAGCATATTCTTGCCTCATTTCTACATTATTTTTATTCCATTTCTGCTGCTTTTCGAGATACTTTTCCTTGTTCTTCAGGTAGTATTCTCTCAGCAGTTTTTTCTTTTCATTATTATTTGCAGAATTCCGAATTTCTTTTAATTTATCTTTATTCTTTTGGTAATAATTTTTATTATTTTCTTTTATTTTCTCTTTATTCTTCTGGTAGTATTTTTGATCAGATTTTTTCTTAGTTTCTTTATACTTCTCATTATTCTTTTGTTGATAATTTTTATTATATTCTTTTTTCCTCAACTTTTTTTCCTCTTTTGCAATAGACTTTGGATTTAACGTTTCTTTGTATTTTTGAATTTGAGGATTAACCGACGACGATTCAGCCCCCTCATCATTTAATATTTGTGTTAAATCCTTTGATGTCCCTTCAACTCTATTTAACACTTTTTTATTTTTAACAGAATTAATTAAACTCCAAAATATTGAATTGAAGATTAAAAAGATTAATAAAACTTTAATAAATTTCATTCAAAATTGAATTTTAAATAATTTATAATTTATAAGAACAAAAAGCTAGGTGGTCGTATAATTTCTTAACACTTCTATTAGAGCTACCGTAAAAGCTCTAATAGAAGCCCGTTCCCTATTACAAGCCTACCCGATGAAGGGTATTGAAGAATACAAGCCCAGGGCTTCTATTAGAGCTTTTACGGTAATTATTTTCAAATCCTTCATAATTTATTAAAAAGACTAAATAAATAAAATAAAATCCGTTTTCTGTGGTCTTTTTATCGAAAAAATTCTCTTTCTTAAATTTGATTTATTTACATATTAATTACTGATTAGACTTTAAAATTGCTCAATCACTTGTTGATTTATAAAGATATTATTATTAAGAGAGACATAAAATATTTTTTGAAAGGGCATAGTTGAGGAATATTTTTGTCCTTTAATTAAGACAAATTAAAGGAAGAAAAAAATATTTAGACAAAAAAAGTCGACAGAAAATAAAAATTTTATATCGATGGCCACGAAGAAATAATGAAAAGTCCGAAAGCAAGTTTTCAATACGGGTTAGGAATTTTAATGCTCTTAAATCAGAATTTTGTGGACTGCAAAAATATTAAACGAAAAATTAGTTAAAAAATAAAATATAAAATTAATAGATATTTAAAACGGAACAAATTTGAGGGGAACAAATTTGTTGATCCACAGCAGAGATGAATCGTAATTCCGATTTCCGACTTCCGAAAATTTAATATTATTTCCGAGTTTTGACTTTTGAGCCATTTCTGATTTCCTGCACCTACCTCAGTTCCGATTCACCTCTGATGCACAGAATAATGAATGTCTAACTAATCATTTTAATATATCCATCAACTTGTTCTCATGAAGCTTGATCAGTTGTTACGAAACAAAAAAATTTTTGAAAATCGGAAATAGGAAATAAGTTTAAAAAAATATCGGAATTGAAAAATCTTCGTTTAAATTTTTGTTTTTTAAAAATATTTTCATGAACTTAAGCAGACCTGCTCATGGACATAGATTTTGGTATCCTTATCTGGTTATATACGGACGATACAGGCGTATATCCGCAAGCATCTTGATATTTTGTCCATGAACAAGTGCGGTCCTAAGTTGAAAAAAAGTTTGATGATTCTCCTTTGAGATTACGTAATTTTTTTTGTCTTTAATGGATAATTATTCTCTTGCGCCAAAGAGGCCCAAAATTTATTTTTAATATTCTCAAAAATTGTCAAACTTGCCCTTTGAAATTTCATAACAACAAAAATATTAAAAACACAAAATAAAAATATTGTATTGCACTTACACTTTCCCTTCATTAAGATGGCTCCCATACAAAATCTCTATTCCTTAAAATCGCTATTCCTTAAAATCTCTACTAATCTAAAAATGCTTAAAATCTCTATTCCTTAAAATAACTATTCCTTAAAATCTCTACTGGGGTAAAAATAATTAAAATCTCTACACCGTGCAAATGGATGGTAGAGTCTCAACAAAAGTGTAAAATATGAACTTTTCATTGGAAAACCCAGACTTGGTAATGGATACGGATATGGATACAATTGATTTAAAAATGGCTGCGGATATCTGCTTGTATCCGCCGTAAATATCGAAGATATAATACACGACTGCTTCGCTGCGGTCGTGTTCATTTTGCTTGCGGTGATTGTATGCTGTCGTTCCGCTGGACATGCCTGGGTTCATCCGCAGCGGCAAAAACAATACAAGCAAAATAGTATCAAAAGAAAGCCAGAAATCAGAACAACGTTTCCGCACTGAACGTTGGCACTCAAAAGTCTTCCGAATGAAAAATAGAATTTTATCCTATTTTTGGCCGTGTAGAGATTTTAAGGCGTTTTACCCGTGTAGAGATTATGAGGAATAGAGATTTTAAGGAATAGCTATTTTAATAATTTTTAGCCGAGTAGAGATTTTAATGCATTTTAGCTGTGTAGAGATTATAAGGCATTTTAGCCCAGTAGAGATTTTAAGGAATAGAGATATTGAGGGGATACGATTAAGATATTAAGAAATAAAAATAAAATTTTCCGATTTTTTCATTTGAATTTTAAGTATTTTTTTATTTTTAATGAATTAGTGATAAAATTAAAATTTAATATTTTAAATAAATTTAGAATGAAATTAATTAAAGTTTTAATCTTTTTAATCTTCAATTCAATATTTTGGAGTTTAATTAATTCTGTTAAAAATCAAAAAGAATTAAATAGAGTTGGGGAAACATCAAAGGATTTAACTGAAATATTAAATGATGAGGGGGCTGGATCGTCGTCGGTTAATCCTCAAATTCAAAAATATAAAGAAACGTTAAATCCAATGTCGATTACAAAAGAGGAAGAAAAGTTGAAGAAAAAAGAATATTATAAAAATTATTACCTGAAGAATAAAGAGAAGATAAAAGAGAATAAGAAAATGTTTGATAAAATAAACTACCTGAAAAATAAAGAGAAAATAAAAGAAAATTATCGAAATTATTACCAAAAAAATAAAGAGAAGATAAGAGAAATTCGGAATTCTGCAAATTATAAAGAAAATAGGAAAAAATCTGATCGAAAATACTACCAGAAGAATAAAGATAAATTGCGTGAGTACAAACGGGAATACCGACTAAAAAAGAAAAATGAAAAAGAAATTTTACAAAATGATTGTAGTTCAAAATCAGGAATAATTCACTCTTTCTAGATGATTTTGATTTGAGTTTTTTGGATGACCCATATTTTTGTACTGAATTTTTCAAAAATTTTCAAGGATGATGAACTTGCTATGAAATTTTAGAATGTTTTAAACTGTCTCTTTATTAATAAATAATTAGGGCTGGCAATTATATAGACGAAAAAACTGTAAATATGCAAATAAAATATAGGTAAAAATATAAGATAAATCCCCAAATATGGATGAAATATGTAACATTTTTTAAAAGAAGCAGCTCGGAAAGTGTGGTTTTCTTGCGTTTCAGACCCTTAGAATTCAGTAAAAATTGGGTTTCCATACAATTGCTAGCCCTAATAATAAGTAAACGATCGGATTTTCATTGATATAACTATCTTTTTCCAAATAAATATGTATTGTTGTTCTTCAGCCCAATCCACCTTCGTCTAAGTACATTGTATTTGACAATCTTTCTCAAAATTTTAAATAAACAAAAGAATTTTATCAAAATGTAGACAAAGATAATAATAAATATTATAGTAAATTTATTCAATTGTTGAATATCATTAAACACTTGTGTGTAGTCCCAAAAGTTGAGATGTCTCATCGGGCAATCCAGCTCCACTGGTAGGGTGTCTAGTTCTCAATTCTGGAGAATATTCAGCAATTTGAGAGGGGGCGCCATTTTTAGGTCTCAATTCTAAAGTGCTGTCAGATCCAACACTTTTTGGAGGCATCGATTCGGCTCCTCCAAAACCCTGATTTTTCAATAAAAAATTTTTGTTAAAATAAATGTTTATTTACTGGTGCCATAAATTGTTGTTGTTGTCTTAGAGTACCTCCAGGAACCTTTTCTTGATCCTGCCTCCTCCTAACTTTAACAACCCAACAACTGAGGAATAGGAGAACAACTACAAGTATAATACCCACTGTTCTGAAATTTTAATGAATTTTTTAAAATTGTACAATCTTCTAAACAAACCCAAGTATGCCTAGTAACCAAGTTAACATATTATCCATTTCTCTAGAACGACACCAAGGCTGTCCACCTTTATTCCATTCAAATCTATAGCTATTGGGGTACTGAAAATTGATATGATTAAAGAATGTTCGAAGGCGGATTTGAAAAATATGCCAAGGAAATGAAAAAACATGGAAAATCTTTCTAGTCCCACTGGCATGTTTGTACAATTTTATACTTCCAAATATACTGGACCGAGACAAGATTCCGAGACCCAGTCTGGTTCTACTTCTCGTTATATCCCATTCTGATACTGAATTATAACAGCAATATGAAAGATAATCATGGAATAAATAGTAAGCCTGAGGTTCAAGGGAGGGGGGGGGGAGGTTCAATATTTCAAACTCACATTATAATCAACAACTAGAGAACATTTATATTCTGAATCACCCTTTATCCAATGAGTCTAAAATATCCAATTAAGTATTAAATTCAAATTCTAAATTGCCTGAAAACATTCAAATCTAGCAACATCTCCTTGCATATAACTTGGAGCTAATGCTGGTGTTTTAATCATATATTCCTACAAGAATAGGAAACATTATTCAAAAATCCTCCAAAAATCACATACAGGATATTCTATATTTATAGGTCCACAACTATTATAACTTCTAATTGCTTGCCCCCTATCATGGAAAAAAGCATTCCAAGTATCCTTTACTTCATTCCCTAATACTTCAGCATTTAAAAGAGTAAAATCATAAAGACAAGGAACATTATCTCCACAATGTTGAAGTATTTTGCCGGGATTGTCTGGACATTGAGAAGCCCAATCCCAATAAAGTTGGCCTTGATAAGGTTGCATTCCGACTTTTAAAAGATTTTATTTTTATTTTTTAACTCTTATTACGAGTATCTCTAGAAGCTAAATCATTGCATTGTTGCAATATCTGCATTAATACAGAGCCTGTTCTAGGCACAAATCTGTATTGGGGTGTTTCGTAAATTTGGGCAGTTTTGTAGATTGGTTCGTTTTTCATTGCGGCCTCTGGGAAGGCTTCGAACTTTTTGTCCTCTTCTCGGCTGGTTGTGAACCTTAAAAAATATTTTTATAAGCTGTGAGGGAACTTTGACTTGTGTTAATAATATTAATTATAAGGGTGTCAGTCCGGACAGTCCTAGGAATAAAGAACAAATGGACCTATCAAGCAAAACAGGCCTCCACAAAATATCGAAGTATTCCTTCTAGAAAATGCTCTGATTTGCTCCCATAAGGTGGTAATTTGAGATACCTTCAAACACTCCTATTCAGTACCAGCCCCTATCTACATAATTCTTCTCTATCAAAAATAAATTCCCCTACATATTATCAGTAGGTATCATATACTGATTTAATGTTTGTTGTTGATAATCAGTAAAACGTTCTCCAGACCCGGGTACTCTATAGTATGTAATTATTTGTTGCCGAATTGATTCAGAATTAACTTCATTTAAAGTCAGAGTGCTGTATATAGAGCCTGTAACTGTATCAGGGAATGGACGCATTAAACCTGACACTCGGGGCAAATTATAACGTTGACGCATTTCTTGATCTCTTGTTTTATCTCCATCTGGTTGCTTTTTTTAATAAATTAAAAATAAATATTTATTTATTTCCCCTACCACTCCATATTGAGGAGGAACACTTAAAGCAATATCCAAAATACCCATAGATTCTTGATACATTGGCATTCTGTCAATATCAACAGAATAACTTTCTCTGATTCGAACACCAATTTGGGCTTCCTCCAAAACTACATAAACTTCTGGTTGGCCTCTCTCCACGTTATTTACATAAATTAGAACTCCTGAAATGTGAGGACTAGTAAAGGGATGACTCTTAAATTTACCCTTAAATCGTTGCAGCCTCATTGTGTCAAAATATCTGAGTATATTTCCAACAATAACTGAAGTTCGATAGCGGAATCGACGAGTATCCCCTCTTGCCAATACTAAGACTCTCTAAAAGTCTAATATTAAATTAGATCGAGAATTCCTCACATCAGTCCCAGTAGCCTCCAAAGCAATTCCAGTAATTACAGTAGCATTCGTAGGTTGAACTAATTGTTCTTGAGAGAGATAACGGCCTAGCATACTAAAATCTACACGTCTGTTGGGATAACGTTCCAAACGAATTTGGATTCGAACTTCGGGATTATTTATTGTTTTGGGAATGTGGAGAAGTGTGTAAACACCAGGCTCGTTAAAAACAAATTTGTCGTTGTCTATAGTGTGGAAAGTACCAGCACCCATTGCTTCCCCTATTTTTTTAAAAATAAATTTTTGAGAAGAAAATTCTTCAAAAAACCAATAGCTGGTGGTTGATATTGTTGACATCCACTACTTGGCCTTCTCCAATAAAAAAGTTGGCAACGAAATTTGGCAAATTTACAACAAAGAAAATAAGGCATATAATCATGGTGAAAGGCAGAAAGACCAGGAACTTCAAATTGACCCATATATGGAGGGGTACCAAATTCATAGGCTCTCAGTGGAAAGCCTGGATTGTAGGGAGTTTCTTCAATTACTTTAATGACTGGTTGGTATGTTGTTTGCATTAAAAATCCTTTAAAATTATGGAGAAAATTTTCTAATTTTTGGAGGGTGGCACCTTCTAAATTATGTCATAGTCCTTATACCAATCTAACGGTATAACTCAGTTAAAGAGATAACAGTGGATTTGGAGGGAGGCCACGTTTTATGTCAAGGGCCTCAAACACCCATTGACATTCACATAAAATAAATATCTGACCGTATCTCTCCTATGACAGAACTTAGTCGCCACCCTAATTTATGTCTAATTAATTAATTACCTTTTTCATCATAACAACAAACTTGTCCATAATGTGTTGGAAATCGTCTTCAAAAATAAAAATATGAACTAGTTCTGTTAAAAAAAAACTGACGTTCCCCTATCTTGTCCATCCCTTCCATAATATCCACCACCAAAGGAAGTTCCTTCACTTCCCGTTTCTGGCCCTCTATCTCTATAAAAATCTCCTCTACTATATTCACTATATCCATAACCATAATCAAAATGCCTGCCAGAATATGAGCCGTAAATGTTGGATGACTGGAAATTGAAAGGGGGAATGAAGTGTGAGAGAGAGGGAAGCAGAGCTGTTTCAAAATCGGCTCCTGATCCCAAAATCCGGGAATTTCAAGGTCCGCCAACCAATTCCCACTTCTTAGCACCAAGAGTAAAAAGGCCAAATGAGCGCTACATATTCACCAAAGTTTTTCGATTTCTGATTTCCCAAAAAGCTTGTCCATAAGTCTGGGAAATCCCCGGATTTGGGATACTATTTTCGAAGATTTTTTGTTTCAAAACAGCTCTGGTGTGGAGATAAAAAACAAATAATTACACTCATATAACAATTTTTTGCCCCAATCATTGTAGTACAGGTTATATCTCTAAATGTTTGTGAGCAACGTGGATGGGGCATAAATCGACCCAAGTCGAATTTGGCCTGATTTTCCATACAAGGACAGGAAGCATTTGTTTCTACATCTCGAATAAAGCTTTGAAATATTTGGAATTAAATCCAAAAAATATCAGAGTAACAAACTTCCATTGAGCCCCATCTTCATCAAACCAATCATGACACATTTCTTTTGCTTTTTGAGCAATAAATTCTTGTTGAACGTCTTGTTCTTGACGAGAAAATGTTGTTGTTTCGTATCGAGGATTTCCAATAGTCCAAAGCCAGTGAAGGGAAATTGGGGCAGAAACAAGGCTAATTAAGGAGAGGTTAAATTAATTTTGTGGGTAAATAAAGTCATACATATGATTTTGCTAGGCAATGAAGGAAAAAGGATATGAGAAGTATCATAGTATTTAGTTATTTGGTGATTACGTAAATGAGTTATTTAGTGGAGGCCGGTTAAAGAAGTTAATCGCTTATTTATCATTTCCCCTTGAACACTTATTTATCCCAAGGAAGTCGGTCTAATACATCTATAGAAAAACCAACTCTCCATCTGCTTATGTACTTGTTCGGCATCGCCTTTCGGGACCTCTAAGAGAGATGCCTTTAGACTCCTAAAATAATAATTACCCAGAAAGAAGTTGAGGGGCTTGAAACGCTGATTGTTCATTTGTTCTTAAGGGAGATAATTTTAAATATCCAACTCTAAAAGTAAAAAGTTCATTCATTCTTTCCCAATCATTCATGTACCTTTAAATTAAATAAATTTTAACTTAAAGTTTCTCTAAAAAACCATTGTTCAACTTGATTTAAATTAATTCTCTCTTTTTGAGCATTCCATCTATACTCATAAGTATTTCTATTAGAATAAGTTGATAATCTACAAAGAACTCGATGTTCAGGGCGGAATTTTTTGATCTAAATTTAGACATAAATAAACAGCTTTTAAGGCAAATAAATGTGGTGTCTAATGTTTCGCCGAAAGTTCCAAGATTTTTTTGAATCCGGTTCCGGCCAAATTTGCGGTTCCTCGAAACACTAGAGGCTATTTATAGCTCCTCAGCTGGACAACATCGGACCTTACCACGATATTATCCCGTTTAATGATAGCGATAGTATCGACTCATAAGCTAATACTGGCCAATAAGATTTGCATCTGTTCAGATATGTTAGGGACAAACTCGCCTCTGCGGATGAGTCGGCATTAAGTGTTTTAACTGTGGCGGTTACGTACACAAAAATAAGTTTTTAAAAAATATTTTTACTTGGTCATCCTTAGATTCTTTATAACCAATAACATATAAACCCAATTGAACACCATAAACGGCATCATCACTTATATGCATGTTTTGATCAAAAAAGTTTAAATCTGGATTTGTAAAGTTGCGGGGATACCAAGAAATAGGCATAACAATATTTGGTAAGGGATTTTTGTACCAATCTTTAAATTGGTTAGATTATTTTTTAGAGGAATTTAAGTAGTTACCATAAATATTGCCAACATCCAAACGCATAGGATCTAATGTTGGGGGAACTAAAAATAATTAAAATATTTTTTCCAAAAAATTCAACATTTTCTAACCAAAATAAATATATCCAACAAAAGCCCTTTCATCATTAGCTCCTTGACTTTGTGGTTGGAAAAACACAGTTTTAGTTCCCCAGTCATAAATTTTTGGAATATTACATCTAGCCATTGCTGCATTAAGTACAATACAAGAAGCTGTCTTTAATTTTAAATTTAAAGAGGAGGAAAAACAAGTTAGGGAAACACGGTTTTAAAAATCAGAATTAAATAAAAACATAATCAGAAACAAGGAAAAACATCGACAGATCTGAGGGAAACAATTTGGAATTTAAAGAAGATAAATAAGAATTAAATATAATCAGAACAAATAGGGAAAAGCAAGTTGAGAAAAATCCGTTTTAGTGATTTTCTAATCAGAATTTAATAAAAACATTATCAGAACTAGGAAGAAAAACATGTTAGGAAAAAACAGAATTAAATAAAGAAAAATCAGAATTTAATAAAAACATAATCAGAAAAACCAGAAAAACAAGTTTGAATTATTTACCTGTCTTTGTTCAATCATCAAAATATATGTTTGTGTTCTATCCAAACATATAGCATTAACATCAACAGTCATTTCACCCAACATATTTACAATATTTGGATATATCATTATTGGGTCTGTTTAAAAATATTTTTTACTCCAAATTAAAAAACTTACAAGTTCCCCCAGTTTTATTTGAACACCCTCCAGGCCTAACAACATCATCAACTCTAAACATATAACGGCCTCGAACCATGTGAGGAACACCAGAACGCTGAGCTAGGACTTTGGGGGTGTTTTTGTAATTTTGTGTTGGGTCTACAAGCACAAAGCCTGTGTGATTTCCTCCATTGAAAAGTGCCTGAAGATTTTTTAAAAAATCAGAATTTAATATTCAAAATAAAATACCTGACACCTTCCACTTCTAGAATTCATTCGAATATCAGCAGCATCAAATCCAAGTTTGTCATAATTTAAAATAACATAACTAAGTCTCCCAGCTTGGTCAGTTAACCAAACAACTTGATAGGTAGCTAATTGCCCCCCATCAATATCTGCTCTACCAGAAATTGCAGAGGCTGTGTTATACCAGGTAACGACTAAAGCAGCATCTGCACGAAATGCTGTGGCACCTGCTACTCCTTCTGAATATTTAAAGCGAATGTTAAGAAAAAATCAGAATTTAATATTAACATGTTTCTTCAGACATTTATTGGGGAGTATATTGTTTGGGAAACATTGATTGTAAAAAAATCAGAATTAAATCCGAACAAATTTTCTTTTTGAATATTTAGAGAGAAATGTTTGAAAGAAAATCAGAATTTTATCTGAACATGTTTCTTCAGTCATTTATTGAGGAGTATGATATGTCTGGAAAACAATGAATAAGGAATCAGAATTAAATCAGAACAAATTTTCCTTCAGGATATTTTGAGTGAAATGTTTGGAAGAAAATCAGAATTTAATTTGAACAAATTAATTACCCTGTAACCAACGCATCATTTGATCAAGAAAATAATCTCCAGCAGCGTCACACCTAACATAATTGTCAGCAGCCGCCGGACATTTTTGAAAACGAAAACCAAAGAAACTACTTTCCGGCATTGTTCCCCCAACATCTGGCCCTCCAACATTCATTCCAGAACCTCTACCAAACATTGATTGTCTCATAATTAAACGATAATAAACACCCGATCTTAAAGCTACATTGCTATCTTGGGGTATCTAATTAAGGGAAGGAAGGGGGTTTTTTTGAAGGAAAGGATAGATACCTGTTGTTTGCATAAATAAGGGCCAATCATTGCTGGATCTTGTTGTCTAGGCCAATCTGTAGCTTCGGGACCGACATTCTTTTTAATTTATTTTTCTAAAATATTTATTTTTAAATTTACAATTGTGGGGCCTTGGTCAAGCACTGTAGCAAAAGCCATATATCCATTTACTGACAACTTTTTTAATTTATTTAAAAAATATTTATTTTTAATTATTTACAGTTGTATAGTTGTAAAGACCTCCATAAAAAGGAAAATACATATATAGATCTATTGTTTGTCCAGCTGTCAAAAATCCTGGATGGACTTTTCTATCGCCAACTTCTGGGCCAAAAGGGACCAAATTTACTGAATAAATAGAATATTGGTTAGTTTTAATAGAAAATCAGAATTAATTTAAAACAATATCAGAATTTTATTTCAACTTCTCGGAATATAAATCTGAACAACAAACACAAAAAACAAAACATATCAGAATTAAATCTGAACATAATAATCAGAAATAAATTCAATATTTCTGATAATTCAATAATTCTGATAAAATAAAATCAGAATTAAATTAAAACATTTCAGAGTTAATAAATATTGAATTAAATCAGAAAATGATCAGAATAACTCAGTAAAACATTTCAGAATTAAAGTCAAACAAAACAAAACAAAGTCAGAATTTAATTAAAATAAAACAATCAGAATTAAATTCAAACAAAACATTATCAGAATTTAATAAAAACAATCAGAATTACCTCCATAAAGTAAATTATCTCCAATTCCAGAAAAAAGTTGAGATCCTTGAGGACCAATATTCTGTCCACCCCCACCACCTACAGGAACATTACCTCCACCAACAGGAATAGCTACAGGGGGTGGAGGTGGGGGAGGTCCTCCTCCTCCCATTTGATTTTGTGGAAATTGAGCATTTATTATTATTAAAATTGATGAAATTAGGAATAAAATAATTAAAAGATAATTTTTAAATTTATTTAAATTTTTTGTTGTTTTTTCCATTAAATTAATTTATTAATTTAAAAAACAAGCTTTAAATTTAAAAATTTTTAAATGAATTAATTTACATAATTTTTTTATAAATTAATAATATTTAATACTTTAAGGTAAATTTTTAATAAATTTTTTTTTGACTTCTCACGCCTCTTAATATAATACGAAATTTATAATTCTTATACTCCTTACTTTAGTTGCGAAAAATAAAATTTTAGTAAAAAAAAAGCATAAAATATATATTAATCATTTATTTTTATCATTATTTATTTTTATAGTTTTAGTTGAAATAATTTTATTTTACAATCCAGCGACGATTTTATTTCGCTTAATTTGTGGACTCTTCTAGGTCTTATAAAAAGTTCAGGTCCTATAATTTTGTGAAAATAAAACTTTCTGGAAAAATATTGGTATAATTAAATAGAGAATTAAATTTGTTAAAAAATTAAATACTTGTAAATTAAATATTATTAGAAAAATTTTATAGAAAAATTTGGAAAAAGAATGCTTTTTTGCCTCATTAGCATCATTTAGTTATTTGACCATAACTTTTTTGTCTTCTAAAATAAAATTTTTATTTTTTGGTATTTTATAGAGAATTTTCTTCTCTATTCATAGATACCAAATTTATCGAAATCGGTTTAATATATCACGAGTTATAGGGCTGGGACTTTACTAAGGTCAACTGACTGTCTCAAACTGGCTGTCCTTAGTCTAATAAAATTTTTTACGATTTTTCCTTTTCAGTTAAGAGATTTTTTTGTCTTATTTTCTTTCCTTTCCATATTTGGACGAAGGTAAAAAAAGTATTTGGACAAACATAAGCGATTATTAAAAAGAAATAAAAATAGCCGGCTGGAAATAGTTGCTGCCATTTTTCCTTTTTTCTCGATAAATGTAAAGGTCGATTTTGAATGATTTTTCTTATACAATAAATATCGGGAAAAGAAAAATTTTTAAATGGAATTTTAAAGGAAAGAATAATAGTTTTTGGAAATATACATAAAAATAAATGCAACAATGAATGTAATAAATATGAGATTGGTAGACTTTAAATTAGTGTTTAGAGGAGGAGGTTCCAATTGAAGACGGAGCTAGATACGAGAAAGGTCAGAGCAGGAGTCACAAAATGCTTAATATACAGCACAGCTCTTGATCAGTGGTTGGAAGCTCTTACCAAAATTTCTACACGTACTCGTACCTGTGTACTAGTACGAGCAAATTTTCCAACCACTACTCTTGATATAAAAGTCATTTTTAAATTTTTAATATCAAAGTTTGATTGTTGATTTTTAATTTTGTTTGGACTTTAATTAACTGTCATATATTAAACACTAATAACCTCAAAAATTAAATTAATCTTAAAAATAAAATATATTTAGAGAGCAAGAAAAAAATTAAAAAAAGGGAAGGTAAAGATAACGGGTGAAACTAGCTGCTAGCAAGCAAAAAATATAACTGAGAATTATATGAGGGGAATTCAAAAAGTCTGACTACCAACAGCTTCCCCCTCCCCAACCATCCAGCCTTTACTACCAACCACAATGTAAATACCTCGTTTTGTTTACAAAATGATTCATTCGTAAAAAATAAAAAGATGGGGGAAAGACGAGAATGGAAGGAGAGGATAGATAAAAGAATTTATTTAAGAAAGGGTAATTTTTGGGTAATAAGTAAGGTAATTTTTTGGAAGAATATGGAGTATAGGGTTGGGGCCCGGTTGGTTCGATTCGATGGATCAAACCGGGCATCAAATTTTTGCCCGAAAAAGACTCGAACGGCCCGGCCCGAAAATAAAGAGCATTAAGTAGATATTAGTAGAGAATGTTTACCTGTTGGTAATGGAAAGAATTAATTGAAAAATCTCACATCAAAAGTAATCCCTCACATATCCCTCGATATCTCTGTTAATCACATAAATCCATTCTTAATTACTCCTAATCCCTCTATGTATATCATTCCTTGTAACTCAATATTTTAGCGCCGCGGGCGAAAATTTTGAGAATTTTGGACGCCTCCGGTCATTCCTGGCACCTACATATAACTTATTAAGAGACGGATAATTTTCAGTTTTTAATACTATTGGATAGAGAATTAAACACACTACAAGATACCAAAATATCAAAATTTTTGATTGATTAACGAAAAAGTTATTATCAATAAAGTGCCAAAAATCACATTTTTTTTGAAAAAGTTACAGGGTCGTGACTAAACTGAGCCGGACAGAAATGAACTGTTCCTTTATAAATCGTCCCATATAAAATGCAAACAATTCCAATAAAATATACAAAATATCCGAACAAAATCAACAGGTTTAAAGAGTTTTATAATAAAAAATATTTTTTACAAGTTTACATTTATTTTAAAAACATCTCCATTATCTTCATTCAGTTTCAAATAAAATCAGGCTTTTTATAAAGAGTTGGATAATAAAATTTTTTATGCGAAGCAAACATTAAGTTAGCCTTTCCATTCTCAAAAAAATAGTTAAACACACGAAAACATTCATCTAAACGGCTAGCCCCACAAAATTCCCCAAATTTTTGTTGATTATATCGAAGAAGCATTTTAGTGTAACGAACAGATTCTTGATAAAGCAATTCTTTGCCTGTGGGGGATAATCCATTGGCATCTAGAAATTAAAGCTAGAAAGGATTTTTTTCTGCTCTTACTTGATTGAGTGAAGAATATAGCCAATAGAAGGGAAAATTCTTCAATAGAAATTGCAGCTTTTTTAATACGCTCAACAGGCTTTGTGTAAAAAGAATCGGCCAATTTAATTAATCTAAATATTTATTATAGAATTTTTAATGGATATGTTTGTTAAGAGTTAAAAATAGAACGAACTGATTAAAGGCTTATTCAAAAATCTAGATTATCGTATAACCTGTATTAATTGCCATCCCTCAGATTACCCCACTTCAATTAATTACTCCATACAGCGATGGATTGAAACAATAATTACCCCCAAACAAATGCCCTAAATCACGTTTAAATTTCCAAACTTGTATATATTACCCTCTCTCGATTAATTACTCCCTCCAGCGGGTAGATATTACCCAAAGTAGATATTAAAGGATAGTAACGAGATTTTTAGATATTAATCTCGAAGGATTTTCACATCAATTAACTATTAATAAGGCATGCGGACACAAACGTATCGGGATATTTAATTTACGAAAATTTACTCTACTAATTCTGAGACCTATGGCTACTGGGTTCTGGATCAGAGAGGATTTTTTTCGTTTCTTTCGTTTCAAAAAAATAAAAATTATTTTTTCGTTTCGTTTCGTTTTCGTTTTGTACAATGACGAATTTATTTTTTTTCGTTTTCGTTTCGTTGAGTGCTAAATTTTATTTTCGTCCATCTCTGTTCTGGATAGTACATTGCCCTATTGAAAAAAGTTTCTCACAACAATTCCGTTATGTCCACCCCTCTCCGTGTCGATGTGTCCGTCCATTATAAATAATAATCAAGATTAACATACAAATCATCATTTTTTAAATATTCACAATGAAGTATGCCAATCACGGGCATAACAAAATCTTTCCGTATAAATGTATCAGCGCCAAGTTCGTAAGAAAGATAGCTATTAACAAAAGATGCACCATAGTAAAGCGTGTGCCGAAGTAGAGCAATCTGAGTGAAAATTTTTTGAAATTTTTCAGAAATTTTAATTAAGAAAATCTTCTAATATTATGAAATAAAAAGGAGTGATTGTCGATAAAATAATGGAACTTACAAGCAAGTTACGTCAAAGCATCATTAAAGCTTATAATGTTTTGGGTACTCTTGTGTTATTTCCCCCCATTTTATTTTTCTCTTCCCCTTTCATTTTTATTTCTAAAAAATACACATGGGTCACATTGAATCTATGTCGTGAGTTACCATGTTTTGAAATTAGAGGTCCAATCCCAACGTTGGTGTGTGTACCAGTACTTCTATTTACAATACGCTCATTGTGTTACCAGAATATTTTGAGTGAATAGAGGACCCTATTCATCAATAGTTACCATACTCAAGCACAATAATGGACATTGATTATTAAAAACCAGAGATCGGTACCTATTGCCTTAACTCCTTAACAGTTTGTTAATCAGATTCATGATTGCTTTTTATGGAGAAAGGAAAGAAAAATAAATTGGGGAGAGATAACACAAGAGTACCAAGTTTTGTTAAAAATACCCCCCCCCCCCTTCCCAACAACACCCCTCCGGCTACACAGCCTAAAAACAGGTAAACATAAGGATTATCTGAAAGATGGTAGGCCGATACAAAATAAAGAGAGTTGGGACAAATAAAAAATTAATCATTGATAAACAAGATTATTAAAAACCAAATATTACTAATATGTACCTGATCCGATAAAGATAATTTCATAAATACAGGCATATTTCTTGCAAAAGCAACAAAAACCATTCTCTCAACAATAATACTTTTAATGACTCTTTTATTAAATATTCCAACAGTTTCTATATCTAATCTCCACTCATCCAATTCCTTCTCAGAAATAGGCGAAGGATTTGACTAAAAGAAGGGTCTCTTGTCCAAATTTTTTAAATTAAAATTTTACCGAAAACGAATTAATTAGATTAAAAACATTAAATCCAGAAAGAATAATATCCTCTAATTTAAGCGGGCCTTCCAAAAATATATCGTCTAAATCAGTAAATGCATGCAATATCCGCCTTTTAGCGTCAACAAATTTTATTAAAGAATTAATCTCTATACGATCAGCGTCACAAAGAGTAAAGAAGGTTGAAGCAACATGCTTAATTATAGAATAATTATTATGTCCTTCAACAAGCTTTTTAGCCAATAGAATATCGAAATCATAGATCTTTCCTCTTATCACTAAGGGAACCTGAAAAGTCCAAATACCCGGAAATTTTCGGTTCGTGTTCCGGATATCCGGAGATCACCCAGGACCCCCCCCCCCCCCCCCCACCCATTCTTATGTATCTTTCCTCTTATAGGAGAGAGGTTTCTCCCTTCATTGCAACGTGCAACTTTTTGCTTTATTAGCTAAATTACGATAAAACTCTGCCTGCCTTAAATCAGTTTTGTATAATCTTAGCTAACAGACAGGTATCGTTACTAACGAACAGGTATCGTTACAGGTATTGTTCTTGTAATACAATAGACCGATCTTCTGTTCGATAATGTCGTGGTATAATTTTCATGAATAAAAAAGGCGTTCAAAAGAAATACATTTGCCTCTCAGATCACTAATTTTATTCGCTAATTTTTTATTTTTTGGTGACTATATAACCAAAATTTTCAAAAATTGGTTGACCAAAATTCCAAAAACTTCCAAGTTTTAAATATAATCTTACCGTTTGATTTTTTGTAACTATTTTATCTTTACAACTTTTGGTATCTTTATCTTCATTCCCATCATCTTTCACAGATTCAGGACATATATCATAACGCAAATATGGAATTTCTTAAATATATTGAACTCATTTCATCAAGTAAATTATTCTCTTGTTTTAATATATAAATTAAAGTAACGGACTACTGGTTCTAGAATACAGAACGGGACACTTATCGCTCTTAAACCTTCTAAACCCCTTGATACTCTTTCAAAAATCGTAGAGTTTAAGGTCAATAGACAATGAGGATGTAGGCCCGCAGAGTTACACTAGGTATAGAGTTTGCAAAAGTTTAGTCACCGGGCAGGATTCGAACCTGCGACCACCTGCTGGTTGTTGCTAGGCGCTTTCGCTCAAGATATGCAGGAGCTGTACCTCTAAGCTACCGGGGCATCGACTAAGCTTTCTCTTTTTCTTTTTAGATTGTTTAACCCCCGCCTAAGCGTTTTAATTGATGCTAAGTGAATCAACCTTACAGTATTCATGGATGGACTCAGATAAATTACAATTACCAATTTAGTATTTTAAATTAATTTTTTACTTGGTTTTTTCATTCCAACAGCAAGACACTTTTCAAGTCGACACCCTTTACAAACTAACCGGAATTCTTTATTTGTGTTTTTATCAACAACAATTTTACTTTTAATTTCAGTTGTTTTTATTAAACAAACACATTCATATTTCCCCTCTTTTTGTTCGAGATAACGACTTTTTAAATTAATTTTTTATTTATTAAAAAAAAATTTTTTTTAAATACGTAAAGAAAGCTCCACATGCTTTACATGTACGGACACAATAATGATTGTAAACATTTTTTGTTGATCCACAAACTTTACAATCTTTCACATAATTTTTATTCATTTAATCAACTTGCTTTTAATTTAATAAAATGACTAAAAAATAATTTAATAAATAAAAAAATAAAAAATTAATTTAGCATATAAGGGTGTTTTAATAGTAGGGAGTATGGTACGGTACAAAATTCCGACCCCATTTTTTTGCTCGTACTCGTACTTCGTACCAGATACGAGTACGAGAGTACGAGTACAAATTTTGGTACGTGCTTCGAAGCTGTTATTAACTAATTCACCTCCAATACCTTATTTAGTTACAAAAATGGCCAATTTAATTCCGGTGTTGATACTTTTTCGAGATAGTCTAACTATGGATCGGAAAAATCAAATTCAAATCGCCATATCCCTTGAAATCCATGCAAATCTCTAAATCCTATTTGATAATCCAAATTTTCTGATATTACCGATTTAGTGAGTAAAAATGGAATGTTACGAAACGAAAATGAAACGAAAATATATTTTTATTGAAATACGAAACAAAAGAAACGAAAAAATTATTTTTAAACGAAACGCGAAACCTCTCTGATTCAGATCACTAGTTTTTAAGCCCCGATTTTTAGTTGAATTTTCAGGTTTTGAGTTTTTTGGAAATTTTCGGAAATCATAAAAAAACTTGAAAACCATTAGGTGAAAATTAGATTGGATCCGGAGTCAGGATTAAGGCATTTTTCAAGGTTTCTTGATTTTTCCTGAACTTAATGTGAAGAATATGGTCAAGGTTCTCACTTAAAAAAGATAAAGGCCAAGGTTTTTTAAAAATCCCAATCTCAACTGAAAATTGAGTTTTTGATTGATTGATTGATTGATAATAACTATTCCTTAATAATTAATTCGATTTAAGTAAAATCTGCCTTTTTTGTTTATTAGTAAAAATTTATTTATAACAGGGTTTCTATATCTGCGGATTTTTCCTCATTTTGAGGTTTTTTGATAGGTCGATGAGGATTATTTTTAAAAATCCGGATTTGCGGATTTTTGTGGTCTTTTAAAGATTGAGGATTTTTATATCTTTTTTTGTGCTTTTTAGATTAAAACATCTTCCGCGACAAAAATGCAAGTGTAATTTTTCAGATACCTAATTGTCGTAGTGATAAAAAATTGCTTAATTCAATTGTAGAAGACGAAAAATACATATAATGCATAAAATGATTTTAATTCAAATTTTGTGTTTGATAATTTTTTGCGGATTTTTCGGTCAAATTTGCGGATTTTTAAAAATTTGAGATCGAAACCCTGATTTATAAGCATATAAATTTAGTAGTTTATTAAATAAAATTAATATTAAAAAAATTTAAATTTATATAAATTTGTTTGATTAGATATTTTATTTGAGGTTTTTAATAAAATTTTTAGTTTTTAATAAGCTTTTTCTTTGGTTGGCTCAAGTTTATTTTATTTGTTTAGATGCTCCAACTTGGCTAAATTGTGAACCAAAATTGATTTGGGGAATTAAAAAAAAATTTTTTTTTCTTAATGTCAGCACGTTTAAATTTATTAATTATTATTTAATAAAAAAATTTTTTTGAAACTTTTTTTTTGCGTGGTAGCTTACTCTGATATTAAAAGACAAAATTTTATAAAGTTATTAGAAAAACAAAGAAGATTCGGATATCTTTTATATTTTTTATGTCGGCCTAGATTACTGATAGAAACTAGGCTTGTTGGCGGACGGTTAACCGAACCGGAACCGTTAACCGGTGTTTTTGGCGAATTAACCGGAACCGAAAACCGGGGGTCGAAAACCGGCGATAACCGAAAACCGAGGGTACCGGTTAGTAACCGGTCGCCAACAACCCTGATAGAAACAATCATTCTACAATCTAATACATAATTTATAATTCTTTTTTCCTATTTTCTTCGCTGCCTCTTCAGCTAATCCTTTCCAATGATATATAGAGTAGTATCCCAAACAAAGAGCAAGGAGACGTCAGTTATGTCAAAATCCCAATCACTACCTTTTAAACGCGTCAATATACCTCCTTTAAGATCAGTCCAACTAGCATCTGTCAGGCTTCCAATTTCAGGGATTAGACCCAATATTGCCCATCGAATTTGTTGTTTCCAATTTTATACCTGGCTTTTAGCAAGCCTGTCCATTGCTAAAATTTTTTATTATAAATAAATTATAAATTATATTAAAACTAGGTCTAGCCCCCAATATATGTTAACCCCCAAAATATTTCCGGATTCAGAAACTCACTCTTTCAAAACCATTTTTAGCTATTATTTCGTAGTAACTTACAATTATCGAAATTTGTTTCGTAATTGTAGTATGCTTCGATTTCGATGTCATTTTCTGTTTTAGTAACCAATTTTTCGAACTTAAAGACGGTTTTGTTGTTAGTTCTTTCAACCATTCTTTCAAAAAAATATAATCTTCATATTTTTGTCACCCACAATCTTATAAAGCCTGCCGGAAACGTTGTTTGTCTTAATGAAATTTTGTTAGTTTTATTTAGCTATATAAAATTCGCATCCTCAGTGGAGGACGAAATGTAATCAAATTATCATTTGTTGATGAAATATAGGGTTTTAAACAGGTTTTTAGAAACCCGAATATTTTTTGCCCTACCCTAATGAAATAGAAAAACGAAAATAGAAGAATTCACTATCAGACAGGTTTATTCCATAATTGCAATTGGCAGCGATTGAAACATTCTCATGCCTTTCCGGAGACATAAAAATCTTCTTGAAATTACGCACATTTCTTGAGAGCATCACAGCATGTTTATCTTCACACGGAACTTCAACTTTGTCAAGAATAGAATCAAATTTCCATACATGACCATTCTTTTTTGCTGCTCTGCAGTATTTTTCTGCCATTTTTATTCCAATTTCCATTCCATAATCAAATATGGATGCAAGTGCAGCTTCAGCGAATCAACATTTATTCACGGATAATTAGTTTCACTAAAAAAATTTTCAGTTTAAAATATATATATGAACTGTCAGTAAAGCCTAATGGTTCGAAACTAAAAATTTTTTGATTGAATAAAAGAAAGTTAACGAAAAGCCAAAAACCGCAAAACGCATTGCACACGCCCCTGATTGCGATGCGTTCTTGAGATAAGTTGAAAATTATTTTATATAAAATATGGTAATCTCGAAGTTAGGGCTTCATCGCTTACCGTGAACATGAATATTTGCATGAGAACTTTGGATCATTTTTGCATTAATACTCGCAATTTGGACACGGGAATGTTTCCCTTAAAGTTTCGCATTGAGCACAATACCTTTTAAAATAAAAAATAAATTTGACGATTGGTCCAAATATTTTTGTGTAATTATTTTGAAAGTTTAAGGATTTAAAAATCATAAATTGAGTAGCTAGGCACCAAAATTTAAAATTAAATAAAAATTATAATTAATTTCAACTTAATTTATGCATATGCTTACGCATTATAATCAGTAAAATATAAGATTCTTCCTTATCTTTGAGGTCACCTGAGTTTCAATATTTGCGACCATTTTTCTCCGAGTTACTTTGATATTTAAAGCTGTGTTTACAAAATATCAAAGATCCATTCCATTGAAGCTCTTTTCAATTGGAATAATTTTTCATTACATGAAGCTGGAAGCTCCCCCAATCAAACTTTCATGGTCGGATTGGCGAGTTGTCTCGGATAAAAGAATAATATTTTTAGGGAATAAATAAAATATTTTTTTAAATTTAATATTTAAATACGTAAATGCTCTAATTAAAGCCCTGGGCGTCTATTTTTCATGGGTCAATTTGGATGGGCTTATATTAGATATGGGCTTCTATTAGGGAATAGACATCTATCTATTAGGGAACGGACGCTATTTTTCGATAGGCCTCCTTGGGTGGGCTTATATTATGTAGATATGGGCTTTTAATAGAGCCGGGCTTTAATTAAAGCATTTAAATAGGTAATAATTTTATTTTAATTTAATTAGCAGCTAAAATTTATTTATTTATATACACTTTTTTATTTTAAATTAATTATGATGATTAATAATGGGAACTGGATTCAAAATTAATTTTTTATGTTAAAATCGTACAATTCCCTTTAATTAAATTTGGTTAAGAATATATAATTTTGGGTGATTTTAGCTAATAAAAAATATTATTTGCAAAAATATTATTTTCTAGAATCATTAATTTTTTAATTAAATATTTTGTTGTGAGAAAAATTTAAATTTATGAATCAACAAAAAATATTTTCGTTTAATTATACATATGTATTTATTATTAATTTTGGAAATAAAGAATAATTTTTTAATAAAACTACTGTAAAAATCCGGTAATATCGAGCCGGACAGACCCCTTTTTACTTTTTAGAAAACCCAAAAATCCTTAAAATACTTGTGGATTTATGTACATATTTGCAAAAATGAATGGAAATTTTTATTAAAAAATTATCCAAGCCCTCAAGAGATCGGACGAAACAAATATCTGACGACGGAAAATCAGATACAATCAGATACCTTTAACCTGTATTAATTGCCCTCTCTCAGATAATTACCACACTTCCATTAATTACCACATCTAACGATAGATTGAGACAATAATTAACCTCAAACAAATGCCCTAAATCACGTTCAAATTTAAAATTCCGTATAATTACCCTCCCTCGATTAATTACTCCCTCCAGCGGTAGGTCAAACAATAATTACCCAGGGTAGTTATTAATGGATATACGGTATATATAATTCTCATATGGCATGGCCGTCTATTTTTCAAAAGGTGATTGAGTGAGCGTCTTATGGAACATGGGCTTCCAATGGATCCGGGCTTCTATTGGAACATTTACGGTAATTCATTCATCGATAATTTATTCTTTCGATACACACAGTAATATGCAAAAGTTATATTTTATTTATTTTAAAATTATTTTTTAGCAAAAATTTATTTTTTTAAATTAAGAGGGCAAGGATTAAAGGGAAAGGTAAGAAAAATAAAATCCTATGACTTTGTTTTTCAATTTTTTATTTAAAAGACACGAGGATGGAAGGGGAAAACACGAGGATAGAGGAGAGAAAAAT